GAAGCGAGCTAAATAGAAAGCACGATGGATTTTTCATCGCCGATACTGGATTTTTGGATGGCAGATGACCTCACATTTGACAGTTTGCACCAGTCACGTACTTTTTCAACAGTCCGTTTTCAATATGATTCTATTTGAAATGGTTTAGTTTTGTTTTGGACTCAGTCGCGTCTATTTGGGACGATTTGGTTTTTTTTATTTGGTCGAAGACTGAGAGCCCATTCCTTCAGAGAGTTATTCGACCAGTGGGTGAAACGGATATAGTTGTGCTCACACTGGGTAATGTTTTTTCTTTGAGCAGCCAGACTTTAGAAGAAGAAATGTGTATGAAAGGGGTAAGTGTTGACTTCAGAACGATTTTGGAGAGATGATTTATCGACGCTCAAGTTAAAACCATTAAAAACCATATGAATTATAGTTCAACAAGAAACGGCCCTAAAGATTCTAAAAGTTAGGACGTGCTGACCTATAAGGTGTCTCATGAATCTGTGTTAGGCCCAAAGGATCACATCCTGGCAGGAGGCTTAGGAGACTATTAGATGTTTTAGGCAGAAACGTTATTTCTTGTTTGAATCTCAACAATTATCATTCTCTGTTAAAAAAGGATCTAAATTTGCATTCGAATGTCGAGCTGTCAAAATGCACACTGCTGTACTAAAGATAGGGATGATCCAGTCTGTGACCACTACCATATCCGCTTATCAGCATATGTCCGCCCTCCTTCTTTTGTGATGTTGAACTCCGAGATGGTGGTCGTATAATTGCAGTTCTTTGTGCCTGTCCCAGTCATACAGCACATAAATCCTCAGTAGCCTTCTTGGTAAACACTTACTAGTAAGTCTCCAGATATAGGTATGAGGTCCAGCTTCCAGTTTCGAATAATGGAAGTTCTAGGTTGATAATTTTGTGCGATTGTTCACTCTTAATACCAATGAAAATAGCTATTTCAGAAAGACCATTTCTGGCGGGAGCTGTGACCTAACTATATGTATATGAAGCCGTGTTGAGACCTCAACAAACGGTTGGACTGGCCAAAGAAATGGATTCTTCCACCCAGAGCAGTGAAGCGCCCATCTATGATCACTGTGCAAGTTTCAGCTCATACGACGCAAACGAAACTGCAGTCCCATAAGTTTTGATCTGAGAACTATGGCATACTGTCACGCGGTGATGGATTGCAGCTTAATACCCTTAAGGACATTCACTAGAATCACCAGTTCTTATACATCTCTGACGAGACTGAAGCCAGGAAACTGGAGCCATGTAGCCAGGTGTTGTCCTGTTGGTTTGGGGGACTTATATATTCTGGAAAGGTTATAAGAGGTCCGCACGCATGACACTTGATATCAGGAGTTTATCACGTGACAAAAACTCAGTAGTTTAAATCTCCCCTCTTTATTATGTAGTACGCAGATACGGGATCTAATCGCTAACTCACAAAGTATACTGGATGACTATGAACTTGATCTACTTCCCTTTGAATTTTCCACCAGGTTGCAACATCTCACGAGGTATATCATAAGGGTCATATATTCAAGTAAGAACTTTACATCTGGTGCTTGAAACCAATTTTCAGACGTGGTGTCTGCGCCCTAAAGAAACTATTTCAAGAAGGGATTAAACAAGTGCAGGTATTTACCAGAAAATGATTAAAATAGTCCTGAAGCTCAGATGTGTTCATGCGATGGACCCTCCCCTCACAGAGCTCCCTGACTCCATATGGTGCCACTTCACCGTTGGGTACTGCAAATATCTAGTGGGCAGCATTTATCGATCACCTTCATGTGGAGCAGACCACAACCAGGTACTGCTAAATACAATTCAGCAACTCAAGACATGGGTTATGATCAAATTGTCATAGCTGGTGACTTCAATGCCCCATCTCTTAACTTGGTGTCGGGAAAAGCCCATGATAGATTTGATCGAAATCTGCTGCATACCATCAGGAAGGCTGGATTCACTGAAAATGTCAAGATGGATACTAGATGGGGCCCTGATGGGAAGTCTTCTAGACTGGATTACGTGCTCACTAGTGACCAGCTACTAGTGGAAAACGTTCAGATCACGACTCCCATAGGTAGTAGTGACCACGCGGTCATAGTATTCGACATAGTCCTCCGCGAGCGCTTACAGTGGGACAATACACAGCCCTATCTGTGTTATAACAAAGCCAACTACACCAAAATGCGAAGACTTCTGTCTGAAGCAAACTGGCCTAAAAAATGGACAGAGCTAACAGTAGAAGAACACTGGAGAGTGGTAAAGGAGATCATTCACCAGGCGGTCTCAGACACTGTTCCTTTAGTCACACCAAAAGCTAGGAAGCAACGATCATGGCTAAAAAGGGGGACACAACGCCTTCTGCAGGCGAAGCGAAAAGCCTGGTTTGCGTGGCGACGATCGAAGAGTCAACCCGAACATGAAGTGTACCTTGAACTCAGGAATCGATGTAACATACGAGTCCGGAGCGATAGAAGGACATTTCAGGGAAACCTCGCCAATAAGCTTCTCGTGAACCCCAAAAGCCTATACAGGTTTATGTCCGAAAGAAAACCGACCAACCAGGGAGCATGCAATCTAGTGGGTTCTGATGGGAAATCTCTTACTAGTCTTGAAATGGCAGAGACATTCAGCCTAGCCTTTCACAGGCAACTATACAGTAACGAGGATATTACCCCACAGAACATCCAGATTACATCGCAAAACCAACACGCGAAAACCTGCTGGGTACATTTCAAATTACCCCGGCTATGGTACTTGCAAAATTGGGAAGGTTGGCTTCGGGAAAGTCTTCAGGTTGTGATGACATCAGACCATCTGTCCTGAAGCAGTGTTCAGAAAGTCTCTGCCAACCCCTAAGTGATCTGTTCCAACACTCCCTTGATGTAGGGAAACTTCCATGTGAATGGAAACGAGCAATCCTATCCCCTATCTTCAAGGGTGGTGACCGGCAGAATGCGACCAGTTACAGACCAGTTGCTCTACTTCCAGTGATATCGAAGATATTGGAAAGTCTCATTGACGACCACATGAGAAAATACTTCGATGGGACTAACCTTCTTCACGAAGCACAGCACGGTTTCAGGAGGGGAAGATCCTGCGTGACGAATCTTCTACTAGCTTGGAACGATTGGACACTATCCTGGGACAAAAAGGTACCAGCCCACGTGATCTTTCTCGACTTTGCGAAAGCATTCGACACAGTTCACCATGGTCTGCTCCTTCACAAAATAAGCAAGGCGGGTGTTTCTGGAGCACTTCTCGCATGGCTGAAAGATTACTTAGGCGAGAGAGAATTCTGCACCAAAGTCAACCGCATCCGATCATCCTGGCACACCTCGGCATCAGGGGTTCCTCAGGGTTCTATCCTAGGGCCGTTGATGTTTTTGATTTTTATCAATGACCTGCCCTCCCAACTAAACTGCTCTGCGCTTCTTTACGCTGACGACGTAAAGATTTGGAGAGCAATAAACTCATCGGAAGACTCAGATAGATTGCAGGCTGACCTGCAAACTCTGGGAAACTGGGCGCTGGCTAACGGAATGCCTTTCAACCTAAAGAAGTGCAAAGTAGTGCAACTTCATTCCGGCAGGTCACAGAGTGTAAATTACACCCTTGGTGGCCAGAACTTGAGTTGTGTTCCATCAGAGCGTGATCTAGGTCTTATTCTAACAGAAAAGCTAGACACCAGTGGAAATTACTCGAGGGACGTCGCCAAAGCCTACGCAACTTTACACTTTATGCATAGGCAGCTGGGAGCTCTCACTCCCGAACTGTTCTTAAGGTTATATAAGGCATATGTGAGGCCACACCTTGAGGTGCATAATATCATTGCACCTCCGCTACTCAAAAGGGATGCTAACATTCTAGAAAGTGTCCAGAGACGAGCGACAAAATGGGTGATCGGCCTCCGCAACAAATCATATGAGGAAAGACTAAAGAAATTAGGTCTTTTCACACTTAGTTACCGTAGGCACAGGGGAGACCTCATCACCGTCTACCAGATCCTAAATGACCAGGCCCACCCAAATAAAAGCATCCTGCCATTAAGTGATTATAGGCTTCCACGAGGTAACCCGCTAAGGATAGCACACCAGAGACCAAAGACTCGAGTGCGATCACATTTCTTTTCGCTTCGTGTTTGCCGTCTCTGGAACGCTTTACCGGCGGCCGTGACTACAGCGCCATCTCTGGAGATTTTTAAGCGGAAGCTAGACAATCATGCAGAAATGCAAGGTTTGTGTCTCAATGGCTTATCCTCATAAAACTTGAAACCACACTGTCAATGGATAAGCGTACAAACTAAATCCCCACGACCTATTCTGCCTTCTCTCACTCTATCTTTTCCTTAGGTCACCTTTATTATTCCACTTATCTCAACCTATATTATCTACACTACAACCTATTATTATTATTATTCTGCTTTTATGACTACACCGAATGACCAACGGGAGTTAGGTCAAACTCCATTCACGGCAGCAATACAGTCCTAACATACTGCATACTACAAACCACATCTCGACCAATCCCCGCACCACTCCTCCTGGAGTCTACCAGAGCTAAAGCAGTCGAGTGGCGGGACTTACTACGCAGAAGCTCACCGAAGATCTGGAACCTCTACCTCACAATCAAGAAGCGAGCTCAAAGAAATCACTTGTTTATACTAGCTCGTAATCAGGATATTGGATTCTCACCAGAAATCGTAATCATCTGAATATGTGTTACAAATTTCCTTCTTCATGTGGTACACCAAACATATAATTAGTATGAGTGATGTATGTTGATAAGATATAAAGTTAACCTACAGAAATGATAGGATATAATGGATAACCATTCGCTTTTTTCGTGAAATTCTGAAAATAAATGGAATCAAAGGAATAAGTTCATGGTTGTTCAGCTTGTGGGGTTCTAGAACTGTAGCAGAAAAACATAATGTTGATTGAACGCGGGTGGTTTAAAAGTTCGGAATATGGAGATAATCAACATAGCGTCTGTCTGTCATGATGTGGTATTCACTGTTCCTACTTAGTGGTAAGTACTTTATCGCAATACAGAAAATAAATTGTCATTTGCGACTTATTCTTTCTTCGGAATTAGTCATATCAAATAGTAGACATGCAAGTATACAGGTGTATACACATGATAACTAGTATATATATTGGTTTGTTTACTGAATATATCATAGTTAGAAATTTTTTCTCTCTTGCGTTTGGAGGATATCTTTTTTCTTACAGACACTGGATATTTTAATATACGGCGGTGCTAACTGTTGACAGTGAGTAACACGTTTGTAACATTACAGGTTTTGGTACTCATCTGATGTGATTAACTTTGAGCGATTGGTGTAATTTATGTGACTTCGGTACAAATTCCTAAACTCTGACTGTAGGAAAAACCAAAAGTCACTGCTTTAATGAGCCATTTTACTAGTGTTGAGTGTCTAGTACAATGTTAGTCCTAACTCAGCTCTCCGAACGTTCACCAGCAGCGTTCTGGTTTATTTAAACAGGTCACTTTTCATCTGTCACTAGGTAATTCAGTCATCAGAATCATCCAACCAACAAAATACGTGAGTTGTGCTTATGACTTTCAATCTTTTACGATGCCATAGATGTAGGTAGTCTTAGTCTTTTAGATTTTCCATGAAGCATCTTAAAATGTACTATTTATGTACTATAGTGTACATCTTAACACAGTAACGTAGCTTTGTTTATTTTCTTGAGTCTCTTGGTAGACGTGCGATGATCGAGATGTGACAAGATGCGCATTCAGTTACAACGTCACTGTCGTCAACCGCCTCCCCTGCCCATTTATTTGTACTATAACTCTGTGATTGTGTGTTGTTTTGCTTAGATTCCCTTGTTAACATGTTTTGGTATAGATGGATGATTCCATTGTCAAGCATTAAGTCAGATTTGTCCTGCAAATAAGTTTACTGTTCTGCATGTGTCAAATTCCTGTTGTTAGCTTTCTAAAATGAAACAATAGGTACTCCTGCCATGTAAAACGTGCAAAGATGTAAGGTACTACGAAAGCAGGCTCGAGTGAAACTTAAGTCCTAAAAACTAGAAGTATCTGGATTTTTAGGAAAGGTAAGTAAATGTAAAGTAGAAAATATTAAGGTAATGAGACCACAGTTGTAGGCAAAATAATCAAATGAAGAGTAGTTAAGACTTTCGGAAACTGGATAATAACAAGAAGTGAACACATTTGATTCACTGAGGATGGTTTTCAGTCATATCAAAAAGAGGTTTCACTTCAATCAAGCGGTCAGTGTGGCTGACCACTTGTCCCAGATAACTACCTTAATTGGATTTCATAACATCGTTGGTTGACTTCTCCATTCCCAACACAAGCGTCAGTAATACTGATCATAATACTTCACTTAGCTGGTCTTTTTTTATTTTTATGCTTCAATAGCTATGTGAGCTGGAATTTTAACAAAGCGAACCCCTAAAAACATATGTCCTTTCATGGGTAGTCATATTTTGCTGCTGGAGAAAGCATTTTTTTATTTATTTTTTTATTTATGATTTACAGCTTGATTCCACACTATATTTTTGGTACAAGTATGGAATTTTCAGCATGGATATCGGTAGCCCAAATTTTGCAGACCGACCATAGATATCAGCTGTGCGTCGGTAGGGGATCGAACCTCGGACCATGTGCATGGTCGGCAAGAGTCCTAACCACTGTGCCACCGACGCATCATGGAATTCCCCATCTTTTATTGTTCTTTCTTCACCTATGTAGCCGTCCACGTCCTGTGGGTGTTTTGTTTACCTTAAACATTGCTTATCAAAATAATGAAATTCAAATTTGCTTTCAGGAATCAGTAAATCTCGTTTATAAATCATAGACATCGCACTTCCGGGATGAACTATTGAAGATAGCTTTACAGATAATTTATTCACTAATCTTTTCATCACATCCGTGTGATTACCGAAATGATCAATGATAATATGACATACTATTGTAGCTCATTCTGATAGCACCCTGAATTGTACACTGGCTTAATTTAGGATTTGCACCATTCTGTTCTTCCAGAATAAGTTTTATTTGTTCTAGAATAATTAGTGAAAAACGCTTATGACTTTCGAAGCATCGCCGAATTTTCTTCATTTTCCACTACTATACACTCTAGATTGTGTTTAGTTTTTGAAATTTTGGCAGAGATCTAACTGCCTTTTCTATGATTATACGTCTAATTATGATATACATACTTTTTATGAACCATATGAATGTGTTTTCTATATATATTGCAGTCATTGAATGTGTATTCACTCTTCCAAATACTAACGAGTCAGCACCTGAAATTCACTTAATATCAGCACCCGTTGGCGATCGTGTTGTTCTCTCGTGTGGGAATGTAAACAATAGTCATCGTATTTATGAATGGTTAGAGAACGGAAGGCCATTGGAAATGACTGGAGACAACCTCACTCTTCATTTGAATGGGAGTCTTGACTTTCGTCTTCGAATGGAAAATGCGGATAGAATTGTAACCTGTCGGTCGTACAATTCTTTTCCAAATGGTACTCAAGACTCCTTACTTGAATATTCATATGGTTTCGTACCAATTGGTATGTAGTAATTTTTTAAATTAGAATTTCTATCAAACGTTACCGAATAGTGAGGGTACATTTCGTAGTTATAAAATTGTCGGTGATAATCATCTCATTATCCTTCAATAAGTGCCTTGAATTCATTCCTTGTTAACGTTAAGCAGTGTGTCTGAATCGGGTTTATAAAGAGATATACTGAGTAAGGAAAGATTTAGTCTATTCTGCTGTATCGAACCAAGTGGACTCAAACCTACGCACTTATATCTGATTGTGTAGTCATCAACAAAAAATTGAATTACACTTAAGATTATTCACTCACTGAGTTCATCTATGATCAGCCATACATACCGTAGTGTTGTAAAGAAGAAAATAAATATATTGATCACACTGAATTCCGATTTTAACTTTACTTTTTCATGATGTAATGAGTAGGTTTAAAAGAAAAGTTTTATTAGGGTACTTTTTCAATAGCTCCATCTACTGAGGCTTGTCAGCCAGAAGATATAACCAGACGTCACATTGGAATTGTCGCTGGTTGCAAAGAGCACTGAAATCTATGGTTTCCAGTTAATATTTCACTATAGTTGTGATATGGCTGACTGGCTTAAATATCGAATTTCATGTTGGGGTTGAATCCGCTCATGCCTTATCCGTGTTATTTAAATGTTGCCCATCGCATAATACATAAAGATAAGTCTAGTCATTCAGTTACATTGATGTGGTTGAAGCATGGCGTCTACGTGTAAGGTTTATGGTTGCCTCGTAAGAAATCATAAGCTACGTGAGTAGGTTCTTGCGAAAATGAAGACCATTGCGTAGAAATTTAATCCACTACAGTCCAAAATTTGATATATTGGCGTGGAATGTATGCACTTGTTGTCTCAAAGTGTCAATTCTATTCCTTTTATTTTATTGCATCTTTTACTGGGACTGCTGATATAATTTGCATCTCTTTAATTTCACTGATGTGGGAAGCGACAGATCATGCCAGTGTACGAGTCCTTACGATGTTAATATTCACCGGTAGTGTAAAGTATGTATTTTTCAAAGTAACTGATTTTAAAAACAGGGTTGATAGAAGCGTATTGATTGTTGGTTTGGCTTTTTAACTAATTCTCTTGAAGATAATGAATTGCAGTATTCTCCAAACACTACACATGTTTAATTTTCCCTTTTTTTAATTATAGTCAAAGCATTTTTGGCTGAAACAGTGCATAATGTAACTGTAGATTGGGGTGCTACATACAGATTTCCATGTGTTTTTGGAGGAACCAATCCGAGGAAAGATATAATGATGCTAAATGGTGCAGTAAGTTAAATACCATGCTTGTGAATTTCACTGTGTAGCATGGTTTTAAAAAATCCATTAAAATATAATTGTACATAGTTGTGGGATTTAGCTTCATTCGCTGGTCTGCTAAAGCTCATAGTTTGTGGTACATCTTTCAACTGGTGAGTTCCTCGTTCGTGACTCACTCCTCTTAACTCGAAACTGATAAAGTAAACCCTTACACCTTATATATATACTGGGCTGCTAAACTGCATTATTTACAAGTTTAAAAAACAGACTAAAATATAACATGTAATCCTTGTTATAAGTTCATAATTCGTTGTGGTGTTATTTTGTTTTCAAATAGGTTATCCTGACAGTACTGTTCAATACTCATATTCATAAAGTGGTAATGTCACCGTAATGACTGAAAAATAATAGTGGATAGGTTTATTGAGTCACCAATTCATCTATCTGACACCTAAAAATTTTTTGAATATTACTGAATATTACAGCCCTCACTGATCTAATGACGCTATCCTCGTGATACCAGTTTTTCATTGATAAACACCTGAAAACGTTATTAGAACAAAACATTTAGGAAATTTAACTGCAGCTTGTTTTCTTGGTCAGTTTATATTTCGTTAGTCGACATTCAGACAATTCAGACATCTGAAAATTATGTCCAAGGAAGTTCTTTATATATTCTCATTATTACTGTTTTGTATGACTCAAAGGTTGTTACTGAAATGGAACATAACATCACTGAAGACTCAGTTGTGGAGTGCAAAGTTCAAAATAATCTCAGCACAGTACACGATGTCGCTTATATCAAAGTTCGCCCTGGTCAGTATTATCTTTTACTGATGTCATCCAGTAATATTTGAAAATGTGTTTTATACTTATTGTACTTTTGGTTTTGTGTGTTTTGTGGTTTTATTCTAATGTAGACTGTATTACATGTTGCATGGTATTTTATTTTATGTCATGTTGATAACGACCTACTCAGACCAGTCTTTTGGTGTATTATAAACCATAGCAAATACATAGAATAACATTATTTGCCACTTAGGGTTTCATTTTTGTCTTGATATTATTTTCACGAGACAAGACACTAATAACAGGAAGTTTTCGTTATCTTTATTAGTTAAATTACTCTTGTATGGGTGTCTGTCATGCTAAATAAAAGAGATAACGGTACTGTTTTAAGACTAACATGCCTAAAATCTTTTTCTTTTACTGCCGTGCCCTTGCATATATTCGATGGGAGTTTATTTTTTCGTCCCTCCAGAGTTTTATGATGACATGTATCTCACTTATTGCAGTTGTTTAGACTACATAATAGATCAGAGGACCAAAGTGTTAATACGCTAGGGATTAATATTTATTCATCCCCATAACACCTCAAAAACAGTAGTTTTTGAAGATGAGATAACCCATGCATATGGTTATAAGCAATATTTCCGGAAATTATTACCAGGGAAATCAAACAGCAATCTTATAATGTCGGAAATTTCCAAATGTAGTCAGGTAATAACAAAGTAGCCTAGCAACATCGTTGTTTTGGATGCATTCATCCTGGGGATGTGTTTGCATACTGCGTAGTAGTCACAAATAACGCAAAAGCTTTCCAATTTTCTTTGATTTCTCCGGTAAATTTTGGTTTGTAACGACGCTAGCCGTAAAAGGTAATTGTGTAATTAATTCTCTCTTGAATAATAATGCTCGGGATTCATTTGTATTCATTAGTCCATACAGTGAATGAAAGTATTGTAAACTTAGAGGTCAGTTATTTCTATTATTACTCTCTGTAGTATTCTTATACATTTGTCGTAATTTATTATATTGGATTGATACAGTACTATCCTCCTTCGACCAAATGTACTTGGTAAAGGAGTTATCTGATAGTAGTTTTCACGACTGTTTGACATTAGAAAACACTGAATTTGTCGCTCTCCATTTATAGGGTTTCCTAATTTTTTTTATGGTCATTATTTGATTAATAGTATAGTAGTCCTATCTAGCAATAATAGTCACTAGTTTATCTCTTCACCCGAGCAACAAGCTAACGGTTGCAACCGTTTTTACTACTTTTATTTCTACAGCTATAAATGTGGACTGTGTGAACCACAATATACAATGCCTTAAGTTTTCCATGAACTGTACCATTACTGACTCTTTCGTTGGAAAAACTAGGACAAACTTACAACAATCTGTCCATAACTTCTTAGTGATATGGTAAATTAATGTCATACCAAATGTCTGGATTGTGATTGTGGTTTAGCTAATTTCCAATATGATTTTTCTGGGGAAAATTTTGGTGACGTCCCAAATGTAGTCTTAAGTGCTCTTTCGCGGTGAGATGAACTCGATATATTTTATCACAGAGAAGTATAGTAAGTGTTCAAGAGTTAGCTTGTAGGGATTTGATTTGTTTCAAGTCTGACCATGTCTGTCTGTTTGTCTGTTTTCGACATAGAACTTTGCACAAATGTGCGGAAGTTCAAGTCGCCACATTCCGTGTAGCACGCGAAGCAAGAGAAGAAAGTACAAGAAAAGCATAATAGAAACAGTGAGCAGAGGTGTGAGACAAAGGAGTAATAAAGAAATACAAAACAGTTTCATTGAAGATCATAAGTCACAGGGAGTGGATGCATCTGCGCCACTGAGAACGGTTTTGAGTCATGTCACCAATTGTTTCCAACCATAGATTTTTTAAGTCTGACCATGGATTAACATCAGTTAGAAAACCATTAAAATCCAGAGAGTACTAGACAGCTGTTTCGTTCTGATATCGACCCGTGGTCAGACTCGAAAAAATCAAATCCCTACAAATCAACTCTTGAAAATTTATCTGATGTTCGCTAGTAACTGGCTACAGGACTAAGTTGCCTGGAGGTCTAGTGATAAATTGCGATCAGTGGGGTCCACTCGATCGAGGGGAAGGACAAATACTCGCCGATGACCTTGGCTGATTGTCGCGCTAAAATCATGGATTAGTAGAAGTTAGAATTCATGGGCCATTGAATCGGTTCCCAGTGGCTGAATGGTTTTCGAGTTTGCCTTGTAACTGAAAGGTCTTGGGTTGGAATCCTGGTCGCTGTGTACTAGTCCAGTGCTCCATATTTTTAACTGATACCAATCCGTGGTCAAAACTTGAAATATAGTAGATGTATTTGTAGGTTATACTGAATCTTTCCTATTTGAACATTAGGAATAACTCTACTGGAATGAAATTTGACATTTATTTTAGAATATGTTTGATTTTCATTACTTCTATTTTAATGCGTCTCTAGTTGTCTAACCTATGGATCAAAGTTAGGCAGATACTCATGCACTTGGTTCCCTTGATGAATTTTTATAAAGCTTGAAAAATTGGTCTCTCTCGTTTTAAACGGATTCTAATACTCAGTAGTGTTTTCTTTGGTTGGCCTTGGGCAACAATACAGGTCCCATTATTCTTAGTATCTCAGCTGCCCAATACAGGAGTTACATTACTGTTCCGTGTACGTGATTTGATAAAGTTGTATACGGTTAAGATTCCCTTCAGAATTGAGAAGAGTTATGCATGGATTCATATGGAAAATGTGTAGAATTCAATTTCTCATTTAGCGTTATTGAAATAGTGTCTAGACCGACACTGAAGCTGTACCGAGACAAATCTGTCATAGAAAAATACTGAAACTTCTAGAAGAAATAAGAAGTGAGGGGACTGACTGTTTAATAACTACTCCTACAATCTTGAGAAATAAATCACCAAAATATGATTAGTATAAGAATAGAACTTGTGCACTGTGGCAGGGTATAATTCCATTGTAAGTAAAATTTATTTTGATAAAGTGTCATAATGTTCTACTGTTATATTTACTGAGCATTAGATTGTGCTTGAAACGTTATCAGTAAATATTACTGAATAACACTGTGAGACTTTGTCAAAATAAATTTTACCCACAAAGGAAAATATGATTAGATTTCTAAATTTTTATCTGTTAACTCCCCCTCCACCCGCCCTATATACGATCTGCATCTGTGCTCGACGTTTATAAAATAAATTTGAAAAGAGCAACAAAAAGTGTAGGAGAATGATATGAGCTCATTGAGATTATTCCGCTAATTATTTTCAGCTGCTTACAGCATAAACAATATCTAGATATATGAACTTCAAAACAGATTTAAGCGTATTGTCATCTCGTGCACAACGAGTTATTAATAGGAATGATGTTAGTAGTTAAATTACCAGATTTTAATAAATTGACTATCTAAAGGAAAATTAGACGAAAGGGGGGAAGTTGAAAATGTGGGTAGAAACAATGTTTAGGTCGAAGCAGTATGTTAGTATAATAGGTTGTGTAACTGCGAAAAATATTTTACAACAAGATTAAGGTGACTGATGTTCAAAAATGCTAAATCATTAAAACAGGAAAGGACGACGTTATAAGGTTGCATAATCACGTTTTGTAAATATAATCAAGGTAGTGTTAGGTTGACGTCTGTCCCCTGTATGCATAGATTTAGTTCAAATCGTTAAATGTTCAAAAGTGTTTTATGATTTGTGTTTTGGTCAAGTTGTAAACAGTTGAAAAAAAATCAACAAAATAATAAGAATGAGTTCACATCATTTCCTAAATTTGTTGTTCTTGCTTTGGAAAGAATTGTTTGAAATTACATCATAATCAAGTCTGTCTTACTGGTGATGACTTTTTTGACAACATCTGGAACTATACTTGTACATAACCACTGATTCATAACTAAATACTTATCTGTTTTGTATGACTGAATTCACTTTTGCGTCTAGTTTTTTCTGACTGAAAAGATTAACATTAGTAATAAGATATAGCATTTCAAAAAATGCAACTGCAAATTACAGTTTTTATCTTGCATATTTGTATTTTTCAGATTCTAAAACATGGATTATTAAACATGGGACTTCTGACCGGTTAGTGTGAACAACTGTGCACGTTTAAAAATTATATATATATATATATATTTTTTATTTTGAAATAATTTGTAAATGTAAAACATGAATAATTTCCTAGTCTTCATTCACCTGAAGACAGTTCTATTTTTTCTTTTTTGCAATATTACCTCCTAACCTAAATATTCGTTGGGTAGTTGAAATAGACATGCGAATGTAACATGATTCATAGTTTTAACTATAATTATTTTCGTTCAGTATTTGTAATCAGTCTGTCCTAGGTAATAAATTTCACAATTTATTGTTTAATAGTATATGTTCCAGAGTATATTCGTCCTGATTGTTTATGCTGACTTGCATTTCTAACTTGGCGAAGTTATGAATTCTAACTTCGAAACTACTGTCAGTATATTGCTAGGACAGCGATAAGTCATTGATAATACCCAGTTTAAGACTACCATGTTTATCAGTTCATTTTTCAACTGCAGAAACTGATAAAGATCTTGATAATAGCTACATATCTCTAATTCCAAGATTTATAGATTACGTGAGTGCGTCATTATTCATTCATCAATAAAATATGCTGTCAAAATCCATAAAGGGGACCAATTGCTTTAAAATTTAACCGGTCAAAAACTAAGCTAATTCTCAAGATTTTCCTCTCCATGCAAATGTGTTCTCAACACTAGATAATATTGAAGTCGTGAGTAATTTGAAAGGATTAAATCAACATAAAATAAGAATGAAATCATGCTCTGATGGTTTACAATCTAGTTTAGCATACTAAATATATTCATGTGTCAAGTGTCTAGGTAGTTCTCCAATTCATTCCCTTCACATTGCAGTAGTTCTCGTGCAAATTAATTGAATTTTATGAAAAATTGATTTTTTTTGTATAAATATTTTCAAACACATCATCATTGTGCTCAGTCAAAATAAGGGGAACGACCAGCTGATGTGTGTTTACTTAGTAAAAGTTATTGGGCAGATTCAGTGGGTTTTTGACTGAAGAAAATATTAAGGTTTGAAATGCCAATATCCTTTGTGAATTGAGCATGTTCGTACCTTGAGTATGAGTCAAATACTTATATTCAGTTCTAAAATGTGTTGATTTGAATCTCGTGAATATCATAGAGAGATGTAGTTGGTTTCCTTGAATTTTCAATTTATCAGGGAATACTGCCTTACATTATAAAGCGTGTAGAAAGTCAGAGCAACATTTCACCTAATAATGAAAATGATTGCTGTTATTTTAGTCAATAGAAAAAAGTATCAAATCTTTTATCATGAGCATAACCTAGTTTCCGAACGCTTTTTTTATAGATACTATAGGAAGAGTATGACCTTTTGTGGATATATAGAGTTTCTGACGAAGAATATTAAAAGGCTAGTTATAGTACATCTAAAGTTATAAACTAAATATTGTGTTGAACTGTCCTAACTGTGGAAGTTATATACTACCAGAATTCAACATTTTTTACACGATAATTAGCACTATATGTGCTCAAGAATAGCTTAAACAGTCGAGCAAGATGTGTTCTTAAATATGTAGTGGCTTACAAGTGAGCTTGCTGTGCAGATGGTGTATCGGAAAATTCACTCATATATTTCCAAAAGGGGCGGCAACATTCTTTGGCATGAATCAGTTAGTGTTCACCATTGTTTCATATATATTTCATTTGTATTTCGTAAACTTAGCCATCACCTTTATCATAATTTCACAGACAATCTTATGTCATCTGTCATCAAATAAAATTTGGATTGCTACATAATTTTCTGGTTCGTAAGTTCTTGCATTAAGAAGATTTCTCTTTTATTTGTACATTGAGAAGTATTTGTGTGGTCTGAATCATAGAATACAGCAAAATTTAATAAATAACAACCAACTTCGTTAAAATAAACAATACCTTCGTTAAGATTGTTGTAGTCCTATGGCTTATTCAGTAATATCTTACCCTAAGACTTTCTCTGAATGCAAATATCACCGAAAATGTTTTCAAAAAGACATTGGTGCTTGTATTCGCCACTGTCGTTTGATTATACTTCGAAGAATCTAACTGGCGTTTATAATAAGTTGTTTTTCAAAATTCGCGTTTTAGTCACGACAAATTCTGAAGTTAAACTAGGCTTGTTTCCAAAGTAGTAAACAAGGAATTCTATTAATTTGACGTATTGCTTTAACAGCTGATCATTTGCCGGACACGCACAATGGTATGATAGTGAGCGGGAAGGTGATATTTTATAGGACTCAAAAAGAGATCAATTATGAGTGTATCTATGTCCACTTCGATATAAATTATTTAAAGTTTTCAAATACAAACTGTACTAGTTTTATGAATTCTAACGTGATTGGTGACTTGATTCCATTCTCATTTTTACATTTAAATCCACTTGAAATGTTTTAGGTTGAACTCATTCACTCTAGCTGGCTTTATTGAATAAAAATGTCAACCACTTGAACTGTGTAGTCTTTACCAATATAGAGAATATTGTTTTACATGTCTTAAAGAAATAGTTAGAATGTACTTATCACGTGATAAAAGTATATATATCAGACGTAGATGTCAAAATGTGAGGCTAGTGGAGGTTAAATCATGTTTGGTCACGTTAAAGTAAACTGCCCTTTGTAAAGTAAAATTAAGGGATTAAAAATTAAAAAAAAGAGTAAAACAGATAGTTCATCATGCTAGTAAAGTCTAGACAAATATCAGTTGTCTGTTATTGAAGCTTTTCTTTTGTAATGTTAAAGGTGATAAATATGTTGTGGTTAGAAGCTTATTTCATAATTTTTATCGTGCTGTTAAAAATAATAAATGGAGAACTTACTTGAATGTGAGGAATAATAAATTAACTACAGTCATATCTTTTAATTCATCGGATACACTAACGTGTTTTCTAAATATTCAGTTGTAATACAAGCAAGGTGTCATGCGAGCTGAATTTTTATTATTAATAATATAGCTAATCAGCTGTTTATCAAAAGGTCTATCCAATCTCATCACCGTATCTTCTATGCAAGGTAATTGAAACAGGCATCTAGTCTTAGAACTAATCATAATGTTAGACGGACACCTGCATATTACAGATAATCAACACCACTTAGATTTTGTTTACTGAGTTTGCAGGTGAGCTTTAATTAACACACAGAGTGATGTAGTATTAACAACTGGATGAGGTTATTATATGATTATGAGCAATAATTTATGTTCCAAATGTTATCCGGTTGTTATTACTGCATCACTGTGTGATATTTAAAATAAACCTTATCTAATATGGAATTAAATTCTCCCACAGTGCCCAAGTTCTACACTTACATTAAGCTTTAATTACCCTTACTAACAACATATAGTTGTTTCTTATGCGATATAGCGTAACACTGTAAGTCAAAAATGAGTATGTATACGATTCAAGGACAATTACTTGTATAGTTAGGGTTTTGATAAATCATCTGCTAACCTTCATCTTCCCTAATGAACAATTTTAAGTGAGGTAGGACTAGGTTGGAAAGGAATCGGGGGTGGCAGAATTTATGAAGTTGCTTAATTCCACATAGGGTGTAGGTTGTTTTGTTGTTATAATCAGTATGCTAAAAATTAATAACTGAGTACTTCCGGTGATATGACTGAAAATAGTTGATAGTGGTTTGCGTGTATCCACTCATTATTTTCCGAATCCTGAATATCTCAACTAGTTCCCATTAAATTATTCCTCCAACGCACCTTTGTCCATTGTGGTTTCATTTTCCCTCTCTTCTGCTTGCTTGTTCAATGTATAGCCAATGGAACTGAACCACCTTACTGCAAAGTTATATATTGATTCGTCAGTTGGTTATCACCCCGCTACTGACCTTTGACTACAAATATTAGTTTGGTTGTATTCTTCTTGTGGAGCTGTGGCTGATTAATGTAAATGGTTGTCTTCCAACCACTAGGCGATGGATTCCGAACCCTGCTTCATCTATCATCAAAGTTTTGAACAGCCAGGTAGTATCATTAGTCCTCACAAAATAGGTGTGGCTTATTGTCAGCTGCATGGAATTGCAAGTGGTTGTTGAGTAACATTCTGTATTTTTCATTTATATTCTTCACTTAACCTATTTTGTTCGCATTACATGCACTTCAACTCGATGTTTTTTTGTTTTCTTGCTTCTAGACAGTCCCATTGTCAGTTATACTCATCTGTTTTACCTAAATCCTCTATATGTTACCCATTCATAGAAAATATTGCCAATGAGTATAAGGATCCGTATTTAATCTCTCAATCTCGTGTGTATTCTAGCGAACTTAGTAACCAAGCTATTGAGAATCTGTTTAACAGCTGGGATAAATTGTTTTCATTGTCATCAACATCGATGTATTTATCAGAAACTAATGCAAACTTTAGTGATTTATTGAATTCATCCAACACAAAATCAAATATGACTATGAGTACAGAGAATTTACCAAGTGCATCGTGGAGATGTATTAATTGGGCTAAACATTTAACTTGTGCTATGTCTTATCCTCGATGTGAAATTCATGGCCCAGACACAGTGTCTCAATCATTCCTTGTGAATGATTATATTGAATATCCTGTTTGTGCGTAAGTTTCTCTGTGGTTATTTATGTATTAACCGTTTCGTAAACGACAGGTTGGACTGTTTTATTTTGAAATGGACAGAAGAGAATCGATTTATTTCATTTACATAAACGAGAATGATATTTCAGTGAATTCGTTTTTGAGAAGATACGCTAGGAATTATTGAAAACCACCTTTGAAAATGAACTGCGGATCTTATCACATTAATAGACTTATTTTTAAATAGTAGAAAGTGTTTGATACATTCTTAATTAACATTAACGCCATCGCATGGGTGGATATATATATATGAAGTGGATAGTCACTAAGGGATTCCATAGCTGTTTTAGTCCTAGTTTTGGAATCTTTGTCAGCATACACCAACCGGGGTTTCAACCTAAGACCGCTTGCAAGGTGAGCTCGTAGATCAGTTAGCCACAGGGACCGAACCCAATTGTCCATGAATTCTAACTTCTGCCAATTCGCGATATTTAGCTCAACCGCCGACTTATCTCATAGGCGAATAACTGTTGTCTTGCCTGACTTGTTAACCCCTCTGGCTACTTCTCACTAAAACTGCAGGCAACGCCTTTCATTGTAACCACTTGTATGTGGTGCTGCCTCCCTTTTCTAATGGTTCTTTAATTGATGTTAGCCCGTGGTGAGACCTGTAACCAATCAAATCCCTACAAAGCAAAACTTGACGACTAAGGAATTCACATTCTTAAGGACGTCTATAAAATCTATAGAGAAATACTGCTGAGACTAGCTGAAATTTAGTTGTACAAATGAGAAACAGCCTTAACCACCGTTCAAATTAGTTTTAACGTAGCTTTGTAGAGTTTTGACTGACTTACACAGTACAAGTTTTTTTACCAGTATTAGCTACGGAAATTCTTGTATTAATTTTTAAAATAATCTGGAACAGTGTTATAGCGTTTATGTCTAAATATGACCTTTGGTTTGATCTGCGTGGTTACAACTATTACGAAAAATAAACAACACGGACTAGGTGTACATTTTGTTTTTCTAAAAAGTCTGTTTACTTGTCCACTTTTTTATGGCACAAGATTTTATGCAGTTTTCTTTCAGTTTAGAATAGTAATTCAGTAGTCCATGAATGTAGGACCTAAAAAGTGTGAAACGACTCCACCCAATATTCAGGTTCACTTGAATTACCATATTGTAACCAGGGTTTTGAAGTTATAAGGTAAAAGTAATTGATAATAATCAACTTTTCTTATTTGAAGTTAAAAATTAGTCATTTTACATTGGTTTTTAGCCTTTCAGAAATTCTCAGAGATAGGCAGGTACATAGCCAGATTTATAAAATTAAGGTTAAATATATGTAAAACTGAGGCAGGTTATGGAGTGAAGGACAAATCAACGTAGGACTTTGCACAAGAGTTCATCAGGTCAATTTAACACATTCTGTGCTGGTGATGCATCGAAAAACGTTACAGTTTCAGGAGTTTCGTTCATACTAAACAGTGTTATCGCCAGCAGCCAACTGTCGTGGTACATGCTGGTTTTTTGGTGGGGAGGGGTAGGTGGACAACTTATTCTAACTACTCAGAGTTAGAAAACGGCTTGGCTAATCTTCTAACCATTCAAGAGAACCATCCTATTGGCACTGCATCCCTGTCGGTCTTCAGTAAAAATTCTCATTTAGATTATCACTTCAGTGTACAAAATTCACACTGTAACATAAGTAGTTTTAGTCCTATCATCATGTGTCCAATGTTTATAGTATATTAGGACATTCAAGCATGACCGTCCCAACCAGTTTAGCTCACTGAGTTGTGGAGAAAGGTAGGCCTGGTTATCACCAATGGTCATTTGAGTTTTATATTGTTAGTTAAAATAAGACTGATTATTATTTCGAGGTCATGTACAACTTTTGTAGGTTGTATAACGCCTTCACCCATACAGCTATAGCTTTTGACCCCTTATCATAACCTGACAGTAAAAATTGCACTATAACATGTAAACCTAGTTTTCACACAAACAGTACTCATATAGCAAAGTTTAAATATGTACCGTGTTCTGTTTTTGTATATAAAAAATATCTTGCAAACCATATAGACATTTTAGCTAAACTACCTGGAGTAACTGCGATTGACAGATCTGTGTTTAAGTACGATAATTATGTGTAACCTGAAACATAACCTGTACTTATTGAAACAAATCGTTTGACATATTTGTACAGTTTAGCAGTTTCATTTCGCAGGTGTTAACCTAAACTTATTGTGGGAGATTAGAATCAAAGGATGTGATCTAGGAGATAATAAGATGAGCAATATATATATTCAAGGCAAGAAATTTCGAGTGACCCGTCCACCTACTTACAAGTAGTTTGCTGCTTTCTTTACTCCCATGTTTGTATACTCAAGTATTCTATTCTGTCGTTCAACCTTCAAATGTATATCGTATTGCATTAAATGATGAGTGATGATGCATATATATATATCATAACTGAATAATATTTATTTTTCCAATTTACCCTACTGACATTTCATATGTCCTCGCATTTTAAGCCAATATGATAACAGCCGTAGGCTATTCACGGATTCTTACTGTGAGAATAATATTCCCTTGGAACCCATTGTTTGTATCACACTACCACAATATATATTAAAGATTAATTGTATGTTTTTTCCCGATAACAGAAAACATTGCCTAGCTGTCGCAAGCCTCTTTTGCTATTCCCCATTGAATATATCTAATAATTCAGCTGTGGATGGACTAATCCACAATATCCTTCAAATGAGTCATCAACACCTCAATACATAAGGACTGGATGGTCAGAACTCATTAGTGTACCCGAGGCTAAAAATCCAAACCTGATTAGTTTTTCTGATTTTGCGGCTAATGAGACATCAATGTATTCGTTTCCAATGTGTTCTTCTGCCGATGGTTATACTACATCCTCCACATCTCTTACAAAAAGTTTATGCACACAATTACCGCTGGAGAAGAGATTTCCAAAAAGCTACGCGGAACAAATTCAAAAAATTGACAATCAACAGGACTGTAAGTTTTTTTCTACATATCTTTTTCCCAAGTTTTGTTTTAAAAAATTTAATACCATTAGTTGAATATACAAATATTAATTTCCATACGCCTTTATCACCAATTTATCGGTTCAGATCATTTAGATGATAGTTAGTAACACTGCGTTAACCTGAGGTTAAATCAGCCACATTTGTTTATTTGCTCTTGGCCAATAAAATGACAAATTATCTACCGTCTAACTCCTTCCTATGTATGAATTCCTGATTCGAACATTAGTAAGCCAAATACAACTGCAAACTAGAGCTTACATCGACACTATGGCAGAAAAATGTTGTGCTGTACACTGGAACAATCGTGTATGATTTAACTAAATAATAATGCTAAATATGGATATTGTGTATTGAAGGAAAGCAACAAATAGTTTATGTCATTATTAGATAGTGAGAATAGTGGTGCTGTGATATAATCACTTAAAAATTCAAGGTGCTCAGCTTAACCTAAGAATTGATTAAATAAAAGGTGCGTCTTGACGATATCTTAAGAATTTGTCTGAATATTATGCCTTTTTTAAATCCACAGTATCAAAAAGCATTTTGTGGGATATAGTTACTTTAATCTTGTATCTTCTCAATGTGATTCTAAGTAAAATCAACAGGATATGTAGTATTTATAATATGAGACACTTTAGTGACAAAATATAACCATCTTTCAATATTTATTTGTCATTTTTTCATAGTTCACCGGTAAAAACACTGAAGTTTTAATAGGTATCAGTGCTCATGGATTTGAAATGTATAAAATGTTGTTTAAACAATGGGGGATACTTTTGCTTTCTTGTCTTTACTTATCTTGACCCTCAGTTGTTTATGGCTGTGAGTTATTGATATAGGCATTCAACTTTCAGCCAACCAATGGGTCACAAATCGAAACCTTACAGAATTTATCAAAATTTAAATAATTGAGTACCACTAGTATTCTTGATACCATATGACTTGCTAATTATCTGATGAGTGTACAGGTATGTAGCTCCTGACTGACATTATCCCTTCTTTTGTGGTGGCTCACTGTTTGCCTTGGGTGAACTTAAGTGAGATGGTATGTCAGATATTTTAATGCACTGAACCGTGAAGTATACATCGTCAATAGGAGGATATTTTTGTTGTTTTGAAATTGTATGCCCTTATTTGCCGTTAGTGTTGGTTGTTAGATGCTAAAGATGTCCTAGTGGGATCGTTTCCTTACTGTAATCTTCTGGTATGAATTATGTGTATTAGTGATTCTTGATCTACTCTACTACTTTAAGTAGTTAGTTATTACTAATTTAGCTTTTATTGTAAGTTTTATAGTGTTGTAACTCCTCCCAACATAATTTTTTTGTATACTCTAATGGCGTAATTCAGAATTAACTCATTCTGGCTATGAATCATTTAGTTTTTTTCAGGAGAATAAAGTAATCGCAAGGAACTATATTTTACACTCAAAGAATTTTAGTTTTATGTAAACACCTTAGTTTTTAAAATCATATTTATTGATTGTATTTAATACTCATTCGGAACTGAAATCATTGTTCTTCTCAATTTGTGCATGAATAACATTGTTTATCAAAGCGACCTATACCCTGCAGACATTTCAGATGCCTTTTTATAACTAAATATTAACACCTTCTAGGTGAAATATGCTGGTTGTGTCATTGATGATGACATCTTTAGGCTAGTTCCTTGTTTACCTCAATTTGGCTGATTAGATCTTTCGATTAACTAGTGTCTTACTAGACACGTATGGTCAGTCTTAGTGTATACTATGCTTCCTGGCCTTCTATTTCTTTCTATCTATATTTGTAGTTCATTAGAATAATGTATAATCTTGTACTAACATAGGTAAAAACATTTGCACTGGATAAAAACGCAAATGAATTAGCATTAATTTCATCAGGAAATGAAGCATGTTTAAAATTAATGTGAGTATTTAGGTATTGTTTGATAAAATCTGTAATGATGTATCATTTATTGAGGAAGTGAATGCTGAGGGCATAAAACATTGTCATGGAATGTCCACGATCAAAGATCAAAGCTCACAGAATGCCACACACCTCTTCTGGAGCTGTGAATCTTTTTTTTTATCTCGAAAGTATGATCCTAGACTCAATTATATACGAAGTAAGTTGATAGGACCAATTAGTCAATCAATATAATCTGTCAGTCCATGCCGGTTTTATATAAGACCTTTTCACCTGCAAGCCAATTTGCGTATACCTTTCAGAGTATGAGTTTCACTTACAATAATATATTAATAACAATGATCCGTGTTACAGTTACACAATTTTCGAAACGTCATCCAGTATACAATACTGTTACACAATTTTCTCTCCATTTTCACCTTATTTATAACTACTTAGGTTTTTGGATTTTTACACTAGTCTAATTGTTGCCCAACAATATGCATATTTGCACTATCTAAATAATAATATTTTTTTAATTATCTTGCTAGTTGACTGTATCACTGGAAATGGTGAAAATTACATCGGCTCTGCTACAGTGCCAGGATGCGTACCATGGGCTAATTTGAAATTTCAGGAAGATGATAATGTGCAAAATTTGCCACCCAATGTTTGGCCAGGCTTATATGCATTAAATAGCTTCACCTTTCCTCATAGTTTGGGCTATGCAGCTAGTTCATCTGCTGTTTGTAGAAATCCAGCCGGTCTAGCCTCAAAACCATTTTGTTTAAGTCAAAGGAAAAACGAAGACAATTATCTAAACCCATTTAAAGAGATTCAGTCTAATCCTCACGAGAAATTGTTTCTCATTCTTTGTCATGAGATTCCTCAATGTTTGAAAACGAATCTTAGCGAAGCCAATCATAACTGGACGACTGCTGCTGGATCAAATGGAGAGCTGAGAATAACGAAAGTCCGGTCAGAGGTACTCATGATAAAAATATTGATTTTAATTTTTATTTCTCCCGTAACTGATTATTCTATGCTAGTCGAATAATTCACCTAAAGTCATTTCAGTTTAATCAAGATTTTTTTAACGAACAAGAACGTTTTTAACTAATGGATTATTCTTGATGGCGTAATCAACCTGATTTTTTGAATAATATTGAGCGTAGTCAAACGTATCTGCTTAGTCTGAGAATGTTTGGAGCTTCGGATGTGGATGTTCACATTTCTGCTATTTCTTTAACTTCCCTTCTGGTCGGCATACGGCTTCATTATAAAAAAAAAACTTTGAATCAATCGCTGGATGTCATAGAAGAATTCTTGAACTTAGTGTTGAATATCTTTGCAGTTCATAGTGCAAACGAGATGTTTGAACAAAACTGTCTATTTCGCGATTGCTTTGACTCATGCTTATCTTTTGGCACGCCTATATATATATATATATATATATATATATATATATATATATATATATATATATATATGTTGACTGCCCACATAAATTTTTGCTTGTATTGTGCGCTGGTGAACATAATTATAAATTGATTGATAACGTATCCGATGTTATCATTTGAATCTGAAATCTAAGAGAAATTTATCGCTACGCTCTAAGTGCTGTTTTTTTAAAGTCACGGCTAAATCAAGGAAGCTATGCTTTTAAAATTAATCATTAATGGTAATTTTATTACTTTGCATGCAGATTACTTCTCACTCAATATATATATATATATATATATATATATATATATAATATTTGTGTCTTAAACTAAACTTCTATTGATTATTAGTACAAATGTTGGCAGTGTCTGTCTTATAATATGTACAACGATTCATTGTTTGAATGACTGTCTAAGCTTGTGCATTCATGTCTTGTATAATATTCTGTGTCTATTTTTTTTCTCTCTCTCTCTCTGATAATCTCTACTCTGAACTTTTGCTCATTTCTTGATATATATATATATTGCACAACTTATCACATGTTATTGCCCTTTTTGTGAATGGGTATTACGGTTTCGTCTTCATAATTAGTGAGGTTATTTTTTGTTTAACCTTAAATTACCTTTCTTAATATGTACTATGAAAGGGGTCAAAAATGAACTTGAATAAACTATGTGGTATCAGGTTTATGAGACGATAAAGGTAAGAATAAATACAGATAATAGTTAACAAATAAACGATCTCTTAAGACAGGTTTTAAAGGAGTTGCATTTCGATAGCAGAAGGAAAAAGTTACTGCATAAGCCCTACCACTTTCATTTCTGAATCGCTTTTGATGACTTTTTGAGTCACTCATTCAGATGTTTATTCATAGGCCACCACCCTACGAAGACTTCGGGTATCAGTGTGTGTTATTTAAACAAAAGTATCATTTCATGGTGCCTTGTAACGAGCTAATTATCATTTCTCAGATCATTCATGTGGTTAGGGGATATGAAACAGTATAGAAGCCTTTAAAACCATAGAAACATCTGTATTAAGATATGATCTATTATTGACTAGTAATATTCATTATGCTCAAATACACTGATAGATCTTGGTCTTCCCATCGGATTCTAGAACTCTTACTGAGTTAGTAGTGATCAAACATCGCGTAGGTTGGTAAAACCATATTTTACAGAGGAAAAATGCCTGTAGAAATGCTTTTCGAGTCTTGTTGATGTAATGTAAAAGCCATATGTGCTATAATTTGGCGTATTCCGCTCCGGATTTTGATGTTCCACTAGACTTTTCAACTGGCTAGATGGACAACTCAGTTTCAGAGTTTGGCTGCAGATACAGACTCTTGTCAATTTTGCTTAAGTACTTTACGAGACTGTAATTAAAGAGTTGAAAGAAACCTTTGAAATCTTGGTTACTACTGTCGTGTCATTATCAGGTCTAGATACACTTTAAAACTGAAGTGAATTGCTGTTTTAGATAAAACTACTTGTTAAACCTTCGAAGTACAACCTGAACCCATGGGATAGTTTTTTTTCCGACTACTAGGTCATACTGATCTTCAACTGAAAAAAAATGAATCCGCCTCGAAAAATAAGCAGAAGTGTGCACTTACTAACTCCATAAGCCTTCGGATTAAAGTTTTAAATCAACTTTAATATCGCTTTTTTGAAAAGTTCGTTTACAAGGTTTCTGTGAAATATTCTTTTATAATAAATATGTATAGTTTTTTTCTGTTTTACTTCATTTTAAAACTGCTTTTGTGTTGTTTTTCCATTGAAAATAATTTTAGAAGACTGTTGCATATTCAGTTGTTGGATTTATTATTTGCTTATTGGTCCTCATTAGTTGTATATTATGGTCGGTAAATCGTTGTGATAAAAATGTTTCGAATTCAAATTTAAACCTTCCCAGTTAAATTTTGGAAAGTCTTCTGGTGAAGGAGATAAGAACAGTTTCAATGAAAGTGATCAGGTGGGAAAGGGATTTTCTCAACGTTTGAATGGTTCTTCAGGTGGTGCAGAGGAAAAACGCTTAGAAAGACGAAGGCGATTACTCAATCGACGTCGTAGACTTCGTCAGCTTAATCCATGTTTACGTTGTATTTTGGGATTATATTATTTATGTGCTGATTTTGTACAGTCGGCAAGTACGCACAACCAGCCTCATTCTGTTTTCAGCATAATACATTCCCCAGTTGACAGAAATTCATCTTCAGTACGTGGTGAAACTGCTACAACTAACGTAGCTTATTTAAGCACATGTTTCTGCTTACCTCGCTTTCGTGAAAAGGTTAAATGTGAATCTTTTAGAATGAATCAATCTACTTCGAGCTGTGCAAGACCTAGTAAATGTGTTATTGATGAGGAATTTGAGGCGAACACGTTAGGAATAAGTATGGGTAAATCAGGAGTTTGTGTGACTAACGTACCTGAGGTTTTCTCCCCACCCAGTGCTATTGAATCTTCGACAAATATTTGTGTCACATGTGGAGTTTCTCGTAATGTCTTACTTAATATGTGTTCATCTTGTCGTAACAGTCAACAAAATGCAACAGCTAAAAAAGATACTTCTCTTACTGTTGGCTCTTATTCCGATTGTGATAAGTCAGAGCAAATGTCATCCCTTGCTCTGGTTGATTCATCTATTCAATCGCTTTCATCTGCTTCAGTTAGTTTGGGTACCACAATATTCCCAGACAAGTTGTTTAATATGGCTTCAATGGTACACTTGTTACACCCAAAGTAAGCATGAAGTTACTCTATGGTCAGCTATTTGTTTATTTGTGAACTTGTTTTCTAATTTTCTGTATTTATTTAGCTAATTAACTTGACAAGCTTTCTAGTGTTAAACAGAATTGTGTGAACAGTAACATAACAGGGCTGTTTAGTAATAACAGTATTGTCATTGATCAGTCAAGTACTGATATGAAATACGTCTAGCTAACTTAATCACATACATTGACATTTGACTATTGATTAGTCGGCTACAGGTTGTTATTAGTAATACGTAACAGTGGAAGATAGACGAGTTACATACATTATAATCACTGACTACAATCTATTCTCCTATTTTTGAAACAAGTAACAAAGGTTAATAAAGCAGGATTTAGTAGAGCACTAAAAATTTGTTCTGACAGTACAATTGAACGTGAAATAAAGGCTCTAAATGATATTTTATCTAAGAATGGATGTCCTGAGAAGTTCACTAATAAATACTCTTGAAAAACAAGCCCTTGCAATACTATCCAGACAGTTCCGAGGAGAACTGTCTATATCAATTTGCCACTCAAAAGGAGATAATGTACAAGCGGTAGTCAAACGAGGATTCGATAATGCTATCAAGGGAACTTATTATGCTTCCTTAACACTACCAAGTGAGTGCTTCAACAATCAGAGAAAGACAAGTCGCAAATCTCTGACACTTCAAACTGCGCATATCAGTTTGAGTATATTTGTGGAAGTAAATACATGGGTCGTGCAGAACGCGGTTGTCTACTCGCATGATGGAGCACTTTCCGAGATGGCTGAAAACGGATGAATTCAGAGTGCCAAAAAGCTCAATAACAACGCATCTTGTGAACCGCAGACATGGAATCGACCCTGTCAAGTCATTCACTGTTGTCACCAGACAAAGGAACAGGAAGATGCTCGCAATTGCGGAGGCTTGCGCAATTAGAGATTATAAACGAAGTCTCTGTGTGCAAAAGGAAATGGTGGTCACTCTGAATCTACCATGGTAATACGGTTTACTTATTAACTGTTATTATTATTATCAATATTTTCAACGCTTTATTCTGCCTCTTATTATTATTCCTGATTCATTTAAAACTATCTTTTATCATCAGCATCATCTTACTCGTTTTGGCGTTATTATCACAAACATTACTACTGGTATTACTCAGTTCTCAATTCTTTCTCCAATGGCTAATTGTTTATCTGATTGATGTGATTGAAGCGTAATGCACTTTATCTTAATTTTAATCTCTGATACTCCCCCCTTATCCATTTGAACATGACCTGGAAAACATTCACACCTGTCACCTTGAGTGATTTATTCAATGTAGTTTATTTGCTTATCAGTTTTATATTTCTCAGCGTATTTCCAATAATATATATATATATATATATATATCCATGTATGTAGAGTATTCAGCGGAAGAGTTCTGCCGAAATTTGATGAATTCATTAAATCCTGTCTTATTAACCCTTGTTGATTGTGTTAAATTCGTATCGGGGAATAAATGTTCCCTATTCTCCAATGAAGGTCGAGGAGAGGAGCAAATGTGGGTTCAGACCACTATCTAGTACAAGGGACTTTCAAGGTGAAGCTAAAAGCCTTGAGGATAGCTGGAGATAGGCCACAATGCAAGTTCAACACTCAGAAACTGAAGGACACAACCACAAAAAACACTTTCACTGCAACTGCCAGAGCAAAACAGGAAACACTACGCTACTTCACCGAAGAATCATGCGTGGAAGAACATTGGAAGTCTTTGAAAGCGATTCTCAACGAAACGTGTTCAACGGTTCTAGGAAAAAAGAAGAGACAAGACAAGGAATGGCTCTCAACGGACACTTGGAAATTAATAGAAGAGAGGAGAATGGCGAAAGAGAAAATGATTCAATGCAAGGACGGACAGGAGAAGGAGACGCTGAGTTCAACTTACAAAGCATTGGACAAAGAAGTGAAGAAAAGTGCTAGGAAGGACAAAAGACGATTCTACGACAACCTCGTCACTGAAGCTGAGAAGGCAGCAGGCGAAAGGGACCTGAGGACACTATATCAGATAACCAAATCTCTATCCGGGAAGAGATCAACACAAGCGAAACCTATAAAAGACAGCCAAGGGAACCCAATTACCAAGGAAGAAAGACAGATTAAACAATGGGCGGATCACTTCAAAGGACTCTTGAACCAACCATCACCTGCAACCCGTCCAGAAATACCAACAACAGCGCGCACACAACTGCAAGTGGACACCAATCCTCCAATGAGAGCTGAAGTCTTGAGCGCAATCAAGCTTCTGAAAGCTGGAAAAGCAGCTGAACCAGATGGAATACCCCCTGAAGCACTAAAAGCGGACCCAGAGACTACAGCAGATATGCTGACTCCATTATTGCAAAAGGTCTGGAAGGAGGGAAAGGTGCCTACTGGCTGGAGGAAGGGTTACCTCGTGAAACTACCAAAGAAGGGCGACTTACGCATCACTCTGCAAGAACTGGCGAGGAATCATGCTCCTATCGACGCCAAGTAAAATCCTGAGTCGCATCATCCTGGAGAGATTAAAGGACGCACTGGAGACAGAACTCCGACCAGAACAAGCTGGATTCAGGAAAGGCAAATCATGTACTGACCAAATTGCAACTCTACGCATCATCATCACAGAACAAAGCATGGAATGGCGATCAAACCTCTACCTCAACTTTATAGACTTTGAGAAGGCCTTCGACAGCGTTGACCGCGAAGTAATTTGGAAACTACTCGAGTACTACGGCGTACCCCAAATATTCATCAACCTTATTCAACAGCTGTACGACAACGGCACATGTCAAGTCATCCACAACGGAAAACTCAGCGAGGCGTTTGGAGTAAACACAGGAGTCAGACAAGGGTGCTGCTTATTATCACCAATGATATTCCTAATTGTGGTGAGCTGACTGGATTATGCATCGGACAGTGGGAAACGAGAAGACAGAGATATCCTGGACCGATGTGAAGAATCTAGAAGACCTGGATTTCGCGCGTGTATGATTTATGTTTGATGTCACACAAATTGAAGACTTACAGGTGAAAAGCGACAAACTGGGCGAAGAAGCAGCTGGCGAAGACAGGACTCCAGGTGAACATAGGCCAGACGGAGGTTATGAAAATAACCAACCAACAAGAAGAACAGTAGCAACATTCATTGCCAATCACCATCAACGAGAGGGATTTGAAAGAGGTTACTTCATTCAATCACTTATCTAGGGAGAGTTGTCTCAACTACAGGAGGAGCGGACGAGGATGTCAAATCGAGAATCAGGAGGGCGAGAAACACATTCATCAACCCGAAACCAATCTGGAAATCCTCGTCACCCAGCCAACGTCAACAACAAAATTCGGTCGGATTTTCAATACAAACGTCAAGTCAGTCAGTTCTTCTATACGGATGAGAAACTTGGCGGGTGGGTCACAAAGAATATTTCGAACGGCCTGTTGCAGACTTTTATCAACGAATGTCTTCGCTCTATACTTAAGATCAGATGGCCGGAAAGAATCACCAACAAGAAACTATGGGAACAAACAAACAAAACAAGAACCAATCGCCCAACAAATATGCAGGAGAAAGTAGAGATGGATCGGACACTCGTTGAGGAGGCCGGTTGGTGACATCGCGCCTCAGGCCCTCGAGTGGAACACGAAAGGGAAGCGGCGAGTGGGACGTCAGTGCAAGGGTGACATGGAGGAGATGGTGTGAAGAGGAGTTGAAACAGTATGGACTAAGATGGATGCAGGTGAAAAGTACAGCAGAAGACAGAAACAAGTGGAGATGTGCAGTTGAAGCCCTATGTTCCACTAGGAACCCAAGGGAACAATAATAATAATAATAATTCTCCAATGACTGCTTGCTGATTACTAGTGTAAAGATCATATTATACTACTACCAGATAACCAACCAATAGAGATACTTAAGAATGCATTTTACTTTCTCTTGCTACTTCAAGACTTCATATTTTCTAGAAATATTCATTCTAATATCCTTTCCTGTCATGGAAGTGCCCTACCATGTTGTTGTCTTCTTGGGGATAATTTCTAAACGTCTAACCGAGTCCTGTACACTAGACTACTATGGTTTTTATTTTCTCTGCGTCTGCACAGTAAATCAAGTTGGTAGTTGATTAAATTAGTAAAAGAATCTATCAGGTCATAAACAAGGGGAATGAGTTAATTAGGTCAAGAACAAGCGTGAAAGTATTTCAGGTATTCCTTTCTCGTAAACTCATTGTATTAATTCTGGTATCCTCAGGTTAAGTTACTGACACCTTATCTCTTGTTAATACCGAGAGGTAAGAGAAATCACTTATTCAAAATATCGGCTAATATGCATCAATCAGTTCATATTAAGTCAAATACAGCCACTTATTTATTTTGAATACTTGAGAGATTTTCGGTTCGGGTTTATGAACATTCTTCATATTTTAATGTGAAATATTTTTGTTAAATTAGACATGTGTACATATATCCCTGCTGTTGCGCATAAATTTGCAGTATATTTAAAATTCCTTGAATGTGGTACTCCACTCTATCGTGATAATCATCGTGTATGATTAATATGTTTTGGAATCATTTTTAAAAAAATTTTAAAACATTTCTTCAGTTTTCACTATTAGAGTGTTTTTTTTAAATCTTTTGGTGACATTGCCGAAAATTGTTCTGAATGGGCCAGATGTATTTAATCTTTATGAACTCGTAGGTCCATCAAGTTTCCATCACTCCTCATATACTTATTCTTTCTCCTACACATTTTCGTTCACTACAGTTCCCTTGAATTTTACTTAGCCACGTGTTAGTTGATGTTGATAGAGCATTCAAAGTTACTCATCGCATTCCAACTAATATTGATTTTGCTTTACGAGTTCGTTGTCTACATACAGCTGAATCCATGGGAATCCATCTGAAGAAGCCAAACCTCTGTGTTCGGAAGAAATTCTTTCAGTCACTTTCCTTATCTTAGTCATCGTTATATGAATGTAAACACCTGACAATTTTGCCCTCCCCCTAAACCTTGTATATGTTATCGTTTTCAAAAATATAAGGAATAATCTATTAAGAGCTATTTCATTTCCTTGTCATTTCTTGATGATAGTTGTGTCATTACTTTTATGTAATTTTAAACTGTGTTTTTGAAGTTAACTACATTAAATATAAAATATTTTAACAAGTTACTTTCAGGATCCTATAATATTTTTTGCAATATTTGTTCTTCCTATTTCTACAAGATTGAAGTTATTGTGTTATCCTCGTAGTCGTCTTACCGAATTACGCTGTTTGGCTAGACGTGCTTTTGGTTGGGTCCTCTTAGTGCGCGCTCCAAATTTGGATAAATTAATTAACAGAAGACGCTTATTGGCTACCACAACTTCTGAAACACCCGATCTTAATTTAAGCATTGCATCGGATAGTAGTACTGATGGTATGACATTTTTGTTTACTATATTAAATGTTGTAACACCCTGATATCTTACTAATTTCGCTATTATCTTATTGGTTCGGGGTTCGATCCCTGGCCGGTGCACTCCTAAACCTCGTTAAGCCAGTAATGAGACTGGTATAGAGGGAAGGTTGGGCATGAGGCTTGCAGCCCCATCCCGTACAAATAAATACCACTGCTACTGAAACTTCAAAGCTTTAGCTTGAAGCCCTATGTAAAATAAAAATAGTTATCTTATTGCAACTAAAGTTACATCTATGAACTATTGTATTGTCATCATTTCGATTATACACACAGTAAATAAAATTGGCTAAAATATTCAACATGAAATCTGAACTCTTAATCCATTAGTTTAACGATTGCATACTATTTTCAGGTTTATTCAAACTAATTAGCTCTAATATAAATGCTTTAAGTTGCGAACTACTATCCCATAAGGTGGGTCGGTTTTCTAATATACGTGCTTACTCTTTCTTTATTTCAACGTTACGCACTGGAAGAAGAATAGGTAAGAAAAATTACAATGTTGATGAGTGAAATTTAGATATGTCACCAATCCATGAAGTCACTGATTTCTGTACTGACCCGCATGTTAGAGTTGACCACCCATATTTATGATTGGAAAATAGACGCCATGAGTTAGCAGTGTCCGGAATGAAGTATATACACTTTTTCATTATCGCAGAATAAAAGCAAACGTAATAATTACAAAATCACATCACTTTCTACGTTACCATTCTAACTACTGATTCTGACTTGACTCTATTAACTGCATTATATCTCGAAAATTAGTTAAACAGTATCGGTATCAGTTTAATTTTAACAAATCCATGTGTGATTACTACTCTTAAAGTGAGTAATTTTTTTGCATATTTTAATTTTCAATAAAAGGTAATCTTTAATAAGATATCTTTGGAAATATTCCTGTTTTTACTGCCACGTCAGTGTTAACTGTATGCAATCATGCAACATGAGGCTAAGTAACTGAAAAGGGTTACTAATCGCTCAATATCGTTTGTTTTATAACTTAAATTAGCGAAAATACTTGCAATTTTGACAGTGATCATGAATCTGGAAAAATCTGAACTATCCTAATCTACTCTGCTCCATCAGTTATTGTTTAGCACCTCGAGAAATGCAATCAGGTAACCTGAATCTCTTCATGCAGTTCAAATAAACCAACATACACTTAATGAATCAATGCAGCCTTTTGCTTTGATCATTTTTAGCTTTTGTGCGAAAATAGCTATGTAAGAAAAGTGACAATTCAGAATGCATATTATGCCTACTAACACCTTCAACATGTCGATAACCCATCTTATCAACTACTCTGCATCTAACTTCAGCATTACTTGACACGCATAGTGAATGTTGCAAAATAGCTGCGCCACTCTTCATGACTTTTATGATTACATATCTTATCCTTCAATCGCGAGGTAGGCATAGTTAAGTAACCAAAAGAAATCAAATATAGAGCAAATTAGAAAATGTCACACCAAATTTTTTTAGCTTCGTGGAAAGTTCATCATTATTCCAAAGGCTTAGAGAGTTTAACGAGAAAAGCGGTCAGTCGATTTGATAATGCTGCCTTTTGACCAAGTATTCGCCGAATTAAAGGTATAGATAATACAACAGTCGCACGGACTTAGCTTCGCATTGCAGCAGAAGTTAAAAGGATTTTGATAAGGGAGCAGAACACGTCTGCTTCGAGTTTATTTCACAATTTTTCAAAGGTAAAATGAAGAAATACATTCTTTTAGTGACAGGTTTTAAGTCAGTCAGAGAGAAGCTTACCAGTTTACTACATCAGTTCTATTATTCAACATATACACGTTTCTAATCACACTCCGGTGCGAAAACTTCTTAACAATAAGCTTATGAATTCTGAGATTGCTTAGGTAAAGACAGTAAACAACATTTACGAATGAAGTACGTCTAACCACTATATCTACCCTGGCCTACAATAAGGCCAACAAATCTTCCATAAACATTAGCACTTTAAATTCCCATCACAATTTTTCTTTTCTTCTTTTTCAAGAGTTGGTTTGTAAGATTTGTTTTTACGAATTTGACCTTTGTTTCACTGACAAACGTTCGTTCCGGACCTTTAACGATTTCATGACCTTTCTTATGATTTTTGTTACCTAAGTTTAAAGAAATGCTTTTCTAACACGTTATCATGTTGACAAAATCCTGTCCACTTCACTAAATTCATTATTATTATTATTATTATTATTATTATTATTATTATTATTATTATTATTATTATTTGATAATCATTTGTCAATAGTACATTTAAGTCTATACCTTGTCATCGTTTTTATATCACTACCATTATTTTTGTCGTTATTTTCACCCTTGAACTTATGTCCAGTCCACCTCATTCGCTAGTTCATTTTCTGTAGTATTCATATTGTCTCACATACCACTGATTACACTCACCCTTGAGACATGTACATTTATTGACTATACATATACATTAAATTATTTTATCTCACGTTCTCACTGACCATACATATTCAAAGCTAACTGACAGTTATAAGATTTAATAGTGTGAAATATTCCCATATCATGAATTGAAAGGCAATGTGAACGGCGAATATTCTTTTCAATAATTTCTCTTCAGGTTCTTACAATTATAATATATTATATTTGTTGTCGTTACAATAATGGTCAGTTATGTGGCGGGTATATTTCTAACGTAGAATAACAGATTAGTTATGGGGTTTCAAAATAAATAGTCGTATTTGTGTGACAAACGTGCTAGGCTGAAATCAACTACAAAATATTGTAAAATGGGAGACAGTGGTGGTGATTAGTCATAATAGATTTGTAGAGTGTGGGGTAGGAAAATTGACAAGTCAGATCAAGGTTATAGATAGTGTCAGGTGAGTGAGTGGCTAGTACAAAGTGGTATGTATTGAGGAGGAGATAGTGAGACTGCAATGAGAGGTTCATACTGAAATAATGAATGTGTGAAATGAAATAGGTGGAGATATATATTGAGAAAGGAGATAATATCACTAATAGTAAGTCCGGATAGTATAAATGGAGAATTCGATAGTATTGAGAAAATGTTTGCATTAAGGGTATATTATAATTGTAAGAACCTGAAGAGAAATGATTGAAAAGAATATTCTTCGTTCATTTGACTTTTAACTGACTATTGTTCTATCCCATCTTATACTTATTCCACAATGCATTTCTGATATGATGCTAATTTACCTTTATTGGTTATTGTATGCTTAAATTAGTGGATTTATAATTGTGGAGCCTGACGGAGAATTTATTGTAAACATTTGTTCGCTCTAACTATTAATTGTTCTGAATTAATTATGGGAATATTCAAGTTACTGAAAACAACATCGTTAAAAGATAATGTTTTCTACATTATGCGTGGTTTACTACGTCGAATTTTGTTTTTGACAGTTTGTAAAAGTCTAAGGTGGTTTGTAGAAAGAAAAAAAATTTCTGTCATTCCAGTATACAGTACATTTCTACACATTATACGCAGAGTGACGTCACCAATTTAGACTTCAGTATTACATATTAGGTGAGACAGTCAAACCTTATCTATATCTATACCAAATAGAAAATGTAAAAAGAGAAACAAAGTAGTTAAGAGTCATTGAATATCATTGGACCAAAGCTGAATATGACAAGTAAAGAGAAAATGATATTACGATTAAGATGACAATCAAAAATAGTTTCTACTTCATTATGAACTCTGTTGGCTCATAGTATCTAGTTTCCAACCATAACATAATCAGGTGACCTGCATTTCTACACAACAGTGTTATTAATGCATTTTATTTTGACTGAACTCTAATAACCAGTGTCATGCGTTTAGTCATTTCTTTGCTGCAGACTGAATTCTCCTAGTCAGTTTTGCAATGTGACTACTATGCTTGGTGGTTCGCCATCACGGTGCACTCTCAATTGTTATTAGATGGTTGGAGGCAACTAGTAGGAAGCTTTCGGACTACTAGGTCTCTCGCTTGTTGGCACTCCTCAGAAATAGCACTTCAGAATTCACTTCATTCCTATTCTTGGGGGGGGGGGGCAAACGTGTCCGGTATGTTAATAGTTCTTAGATTTGCAGCAAAAATTATTTCATTATTTTCTCAGTGTCACGTACAGATAAACTTTGTTCAACTGTTAAAATTGTGCCAAAGTTCTATAGTGATTTCTTTTATATGAACATGATTTAGTTTGTATTTGACGTACAAATTATTTCATTTTTACTTAACATAAATTTTTTGAAATCTGTTCATATGTTTATATGATCAGGTACTTTTTTTAAAGGAATTTTGGTAAATATTATCTTTGTTGACTTGTTGGAATTAATTTGCATGTTAAATGCCCTTTGACAGTGAAATAATAATAATGATTAGGTAGTAAAACAAACAGTCGCATATTAATCTTGTATGTGGTGTATTTCTCATTTCCTCTTGTATATTCATGCACACAATATGCTGTTTAGCACGGAGTGCAAATGTTATTTTAAATTGTTAACTGTTTTTTGTTGTTGTTTGTTTTGCAGTTGGTAACCCATTTCATGTTTCAGTTTTCTAGATGGTATATTTTGTTACAGAGACGAATAAATTTTTAGTTAGTTCATGAAAAAAATATAGACAAAAAAAACTTTCATTTATTCTACCTTGATAATTTGTGTATCCTTACTTCACATGGAGAAATTCACGTTGTAGTAGAGTTGAGACTTTCTCGTAGATGATTGCTTCCATACATTCGACTCTTATAGTTCAGTTAGATGTATTGCTTCCCTCCCCTCCCCCCCCCCAAAAAAAAAGCGTATTATCACAGCGGTTAGGACGCTCATCGACCATGCACACAGTCCCGGGTTCGGCCGACACACACCTTATATCAGTAGTCAGCCTGCTAGATTTGGCCTACCGATATCACATGGTAAAAATTCCATAGTTGTACCAAAATACTGTGTGGAATCAAGCTATAATTAAAATTAAAATCTATGCAAATAGCTAAACGAAAGATTCATCAATAGTTGCAAAAAGTATCTTATCAATGAGTGTAGAACGGGTGAAGATATGATCATTATGATGGTGACCATTTCGAAATCTTGTATATTTCATTTGTTAAAAGGTTTCATTTGCATTTAAACTCTCCATGATCAAACTGTTGCCTAAAGTGTTCTCCTAAACAACAACTGGTTAACATCAATTTTGGCTTGTTGCCTGTCGACGACGTAACTTAGATATATTATAACTGAAAAGACAAAGTTCTGATATCTGAGTATAAGTAAGAGGTGTAAATGTATTCACGACAATTTTGTTTTTATAGTTATCTTATGAACTCTAAGTAGGAGGTGTAAGCTTTCTATTACAAGTTTTTGGATGAATCTTGGATCTTGTTCTAGGTGCCAGCATATTTTCTAACCTTCGAACTTCCTTAGCAAGCAGTGTACGAAATTGTACTTAACTGAATCACCATAGTTTTACTAGGATGTTAATGTGTAACAACAGAAGACAAGGGCCAGGCAACAGATCGTTTTATTATGAAAATCAACACGTATTTATACATATTTCAGACAACATTATTATAGACAAGCGCAGTCATCTGATTGGTTGTTTAGGTAGACAAACGCAGGCTTCTGATTGGTTGTTTCGGGATTCCTTGACAAACAGAGTTCTCTATCTGCGAATCATATTTTGCCACGTTAACTTCGCTGTGATTGGTTGTTGACTCAGCCTTGTTCACGGCCCATATTAGTGACCTAGACCTTAACGTAGATTAGTGCCAACCAATCGGCTAGCAGCCTGCTCTCACCACACTCGTCCCCCCGTCAAATACGTGCGACTGAAGTCGGCTTGATCTACTTGGTGCAGGCGTCATCGTTGGCTTGTCTCGCTGTATCCATTTCTGGAGCTCGCTGACGTTCACGCGCCTCTCATTGTTCGCCATTGCGACTGTGTCTGCGTAACCCCATCTCGAAGTGACCATATATGGTCCTTCCCACTTTGGAAACTGTTTGCCTGACCCTGTCGAACATTCGTCCATACTTCGGCCCACACCTTCATATGCTGCTTTCGCCCGACCTCCCAGCAGCGTCTCAAGTAGCAGCTCCATCGCTGACAGATCTTGAACGCCACTCAACTGCGCAGAAGCCTTGAAGTCCTGCCCGAAGATCCATATGTCTCCATCAAAAACTGCAGGGTATAGGCTTTTCATTTGTCGGTAGGCAGCGACACCAAATGTAACAACAGAAGACAAGGGCCAGGCAACAGATCGTTTTATTATGAAAATCAACACGTATTTATACATATTTCAGACAACATTATTATAGACAAGCGCAGTCATCTGATTGGTTGTTTAGGTAGACAAACGCAGGCTTCTGATTGGTTGTTTCGGGATTCCTTGACAAACAGAGTTCTCTATCTGCGAATCATATTTTGCCACGTTAACTTCGCTGTGATTGGTTGTTGACTCAGCCTTGTTCACGGCCCATATTAGTGACCTAGACCTTAACGTAGATTAGTGCCAACCAATCGGCTAGCAGCCTGCTCTCACCACACTCGTCCCCCCGTCAAATACGTGCGACTGAAGTCGGCTTGATCTACTTGGTGCAGGCGTCATCGTTGGCTTGTCTCGCTGTATCCATTTCTGGAGCTCGCTGACGTTCACGCGCCTCTCATTGTTCGCCATTGCGACTGTGTCTGCGTAACCCCATCTCGAAGTGACCATATATGGTCCTTCCCACTTTGGAAACTGTTTGCCTGACCCTGTCGAACATTCGTCCATACTTCGGCCCACACCTTCATATGCTGCTTTCGCCCGACCTCCCAGCAGCGTCTCAAGTAGCAGCTCCATCGCTGACAGATCTTGAACGCCACTCAACTGCGCAGAAGCCTTGAAGTCCTGCCCGAAGATCCATATGTCTCCATCAAAAACTGCAGGGTATAGGCTTTTCATTTGTCGGTAGGCAGCGACACCAAATGTAACAACAGAAGACAAGGGCCAGGCAACAGATCGTTTTATTATGAAAATCAACACGTATTTATACATATTTCAGACAACATTATTATAGACAAGCGCAGTCATCTGATTGGTTGTTTAGGTAGACAAACGCAGGCTTCTGATTGGTTGTTTCGGGATTCCTTGACAAACAGAGTTCTCTATCTGCGAATCATATTTTGCCACGTTAACTTCGCTGTGATTGGTTGTTGACTCAGCCTTGTTCACGGCCCATATTAGTGACCTAGACCTTAACGTAGATTAGTGCCAACCAATCGGCTAGCAGCCTGCTCTCACCACAAATGTTGCTACTCTTGAGTGGCGTTGTTAAGGTAAAGTCTCCTACTTTCAATAATCATGTTTGTGAATAAATTAGTATAGGGTATACAGTTACGCAGTGCAGTACACTAGGTGTGTTAAAGACAAATGTAAGAGAAATGCGCGACTTATCTTTGCGGCCTGGGGTAAACGAGATTATTTCTTTTTTCACTCCTCTCCTTGTGAAAAGAATTAATATATCAAATTCATCTCAGTGAAAAACAATACATAACTTCGATCCTCATCGTCATCGTCATCTCCAAAAGAGTTGGTTTTCTTTATTTTCAAGGAATTATACTGTGCCAAGTAAAATGTCTTTCAGTAATATGAAGTTTATGAACAGTGAATTTCCTTCCAAATAAAATATTTTGAACCTAAATGTGTATCATTACGTCAGAGTATACTGATATTGTTATAATTAACCATTTCATATAATATACGAAATATATAAGGTGTGGAAGTGCTTCATCTTAAATGATGAATGATATTTGTTTTTTAACAAGTTAATAATTTCATTATACTGACTCTTCTAAAATGTAGCACGTGTCATTGTTTCAGATCAGGGAATTTCAGACGCATCAGATAAGATTGCCGTGATTAAAATGTTTCAACGTGGTATCAACTTAGATTCAGAGGCCAATTTTCTTCGTGAAGCGGAAATACTTGTGGAATTGGAGCATAAAAATATTATCCAGCTATTCGGTACCGTAAAATGTCTCGTTTATACTTTAATAACTAATTATATATTCCATTTTGATGATATAACCAACTGTATTTTTTTTGGTTAACTTGAAATTGGATTGACGTCTCAGGTTATATATAATCCTACCTTATAGACTGGAAAACCGTTGCATCAAGACAATGCATTAAATTTTAGATTGAACATATATTTGATGGATGTTAATATCTTGGTATATAGTATTTATTAGAGTGATAAATATACAAACCAATGAATTTAGTTGTATTTGCTTTGATTACACACTGTGAGATGGTTTCCTTTGAAGGCAAAAATTACTAATTACGCAATAGGCAGTCTGGTTGGTGTATTGTGATTTAAGCGTAAATATTTAATCATAAAAATGATACAATATACATTAGTTTGCATATACTCGACTGAACTCTACAGCTTTCCAGTTCTTTCAAGTAGCTGGCAACAATTCATGTGGTTTCTGATTTGAAACAATCTGAGTACACTTCAAACGAGTGAAACACCTTTCGATTGTTATTTAGATCAGTTCAATCTAGTAAATGAACTTTGTTATAGATATGGATGGTTGAAAGTTATTTGTATTAGCAGGCTGTATATACCGGATGACTAACTAAACTTAGAGTCCTTGTAGAACTTTGCACATCAGTTCTAGTTTCTGAAATCCTGACTAGCACAGAAAATAAAAGGAACAGAAATGAAGAAAAATAAGTAAAAATTCATAATAGATAGAATATATGCTGGATAGCTGCAGTCAATTTAGAATCTTATTTAAACAAAAGTTACAAAAGTTCACTCAATTTCTTACTTAGAGTGAATTCAAGTTTTATGTTACCAACTGACAGCTACTACGCTATCACACTAATCGAGCTTGAATATCTCAACGAGATATTCTGAGTGGAGTGCGTATATCTGAATTTTCTAGCTTACCGAGAAGGTGGGATAAATAATACTTTTGTCTGAAATCAAGTTCAATCCTATCATCAACCATCTTCACCATTACTTTATAACTCATCGTTACTTTTGTATCCTAGCAAGTGTAAAACATCTTCAACCGTTAATATGCGTTACTTTAAAAATTGTTCATTTCAGGCGTTTGTGTTCCTCTGGATCCACTTTCCTTTCTTATTGAATATATGCCTTATGGAGATTTAAATTCATTTTTGCGCAAATACGCAAATGGAGTGTCGCCTGGTAAGTTCCGTAGCGAATTGGATTTTGACACTATAGATTCTGTTTTAGGTATAAGTACGGTCAATGGAGAATTATCAAATCCACGTAATTTGACGGTAACACCGACTTCTGCATTTTACAAGCAATCCCATGAACAATATACGGGTGAACTGACCATTAAAACTCTTATTGAAATGATTATTGATGCTTGCGAAGCTATGGTTTACTTGAGTGAGGTGTATTATGTGCACAGGTGAGTGTGTTCCACTTCTAGTGTTGGCTGATTTCAACTCTTTGTAATACTTGAGATAAACATCTTCAAAATTCCTTCATCAGGCTATTGATTTGTAAAAGAACTAATATAATACGAATAGGTAATATCTTTTTTTCTTCTTCTACACTCTGTCACAAAATAAATGACAGGAAGTGTTCATAGTCGGGAGTAGCTAAACAAAATGCCTTACCTGTGTGTGATGATATTGCAACAGAAAGCCGAAAAAAACTGTCCTTATAAATTCTCTTAGAAAACTGCTTCACGCATTTTGTTTAAGGCTCTTTTTCTCTAGCCAAAACGTCAAACGTATACCTTCCAGTTTACTTATTTCTACAGTGTTAGTCTTTGAAAATATTTCCAAGCTTGATTTTACAAGGAGATTGAATGTGATGTTCGGAACTGCATTCTTGGAAACTTTATCATCTTTAAATATGTAGTCCTATCTTGAGGTTCGTTCAGATTAATTTACAATTTTACTCCGTACAAATCCCTGAGACCGCATCTATGGATATCTAAATCATCTGTTCATATATTCAACATTATCTGTGTTCACGCATTTACTTCACTGTGGTTATGTTCTTCTTTTGTTTTCGTTTTTGTCACTAAGCATTTTATACTTTCTGGTATACTAGTGGATTTCTCTGTTCATCTTGTAATGCATTTTAGGTAATGCATTTTCTTGTGCCAATAAAGAAGTTTTACGCGATTTGGTTGCCTGTTTTTTTCTCTCGCAAAACTCTATGATATTTCGAAGGAGTATTAATGATTAGGTTTACAAGCGCTGTTAGTGTGGCAGAACTATTATTGTCAACGACTGAAATACTATCGGCTATGCACAGTGTAAAATGATGTTAACTCTTTTCAACTTGAGAATATTTTACGTGAAAAACTTTTATCTATTATACAGTCCTATTTTAGTTGTAGTCTAGCACGTTATTCTGTTTGCAATTGCGAAATTCGTTAATTGATTGCTTTCTTTGAATCAACCACTTTCTATACGCAGCAAAGAGGTTTTCATAATCTTACAAGTAGGTAATATACTTTTTAACCAATTCAATAGTCATTACTCTACTGTGAAGCAATCATCCTAACGACATAATTCTTAGTCATTATTGCTATTATTTGATGTAGTCTTTAATCATGCTACATACAGCTTTATTATGGTCACTGATAATATGCAACATTCTTCTACGGAGTATTCACTCATTGAAAATGCATGAAATTGTTGATATATAGTTTGATTCAGAGTACTATGTAACTCAGTTAGAGTGCACTCAATGTGCTACCACATTATACATTCATCAACAGGATGCAAGGGAAGTGGATTTCAATTAGTGTGAACTTATACATTTCATTCTGATGTATAAAAGCTGGTGTAAACAATATTCAGGAGAATTTACTTCTGTCCACTTATTCCAGTAGGAAATAAATCAAAAAGTGCATGAATGTGTGCGTATGTTAAATGGAGTTGTAAGCTTAACTCTTTGTTATCATTTACACAATATGACAGTGGAAAGATTATCGTCTAAACAAAGGTCAGATTCGCAGTATTTCATAGGTTAACTTTATATGCAAAATGCATAAAATTAGTGGTCATATAGAGAATAAAAGTTATAAGTTAGTAATATTGCAGCAGTAACAAAAAAAGCTTTGTAAAATAGAGAATCCTAAGTATCGAATTGCTGAACAACAGAGACTGCAGCTACCATATTCGTCAATGCATATGATGTTAAATAAAAAGTTGAAGAGATACTTTAATTTGCAAAAGTGATTGACAGAAAACGTTTCTAATGATATTTTATACAGAGAAAAAAGTATAACCAGTCTCTTACTCATTTAACAGCTGATATTATTTCTTTTTGATGATATAATCTCTCTTTTGACTGGAGTACTTATTTAAACCATATGAAATGAATTCCTCTCATAATAATTATTCTTTCCCCTTGGAGTACGTTGGAGTACTAACCCCTCTCAACCTAGTCTTACTCAGATAACCTGATTAAAAGAGAATTCAATGCGAAACTTCGCACAGAAGCGCATTAAATAAGGTTGTTGAACTTTGAGACAGTGCACAAAAGCTAAAAAAAGGAATAAGTATTTAAAGCACTCTTGAACAACGAACACTCAAAACACGTCCAGATATACACCCAACAGCCACAAAACAACCGGTAAACATCAATCCTCCGACAAAAGCAAACGTTTTGGACGCCATAAGATTACAGCGAGCTGCCCGGAATGGCAGTATGTCCAGACGGAAATCCTCCATGAGCACTGAGAGCTGATCCATAGACCTCAGCGGATATCGTCACGCTACTATTACAGAAAGTTCGGAAGGAAGAAGCGGTATCTGCAAAAGAAGGGTGAATTAAGCCTTTGAAAAACTTGACGTTGAATCATTTTCTTATTTACGCCAAGCAAAATATTACGTCGCGTCATCCTGGAGCGACCAACAGATGTAGCGGAGCGGAACTCCTCCAGGAACAAGATGAATTCAGTGAAAGCAAGTCACGTGCGTGTCGAATTGCAAAGCTGTCCGCCATTATCTAACAAAGCATATATTGGCAATCAAATCTCTACCTCAAATTCATCGACTTTGAGAAGGCCTTCAACATCATTGACCGCTAATTAATCTGGAAACTACTTCACCACTATGGAGTGCGCCAAACCTTTATTAACCTCATTCAACTGTAATATGATGATGCTATATGTCAAGTGGCTTATAACGAAAAGTTCAGAGAAGAGTTTGAAATGAAAACGGGAGTGAAAAAAGACTAACTACTGTCACCAGTAATACTTCTGAATGTGGTGAACTGGATCACTCAAGATATCCTGGGGTGACAGATGGTCATATGTTGGGCGGACAAGAAGGCTGTAGAAGATCTGAACTTCGTTAACGATTTATGGCTCATGTCAAAAAATTCGAAGATTCACAAGCGAAAGCCAGCAAGTTGGCAGAAAAGGCGGGCAACAAAGACAGGACTTCAGGTGAACACAGAGAAAACAGAGGTGATGAAGATACCTAGTTACTATCAACCATAAGCACTTATTATTATCAACGGGAGAAATTTGAAGGAAGTCACCTCTTTCACTTATCTAGGAAGCATCGTTTCAGCTACAGGAGGCATGGATGAAAATTTCAAAACCAGAATCGGAAAAGCAAGACAGACTTACATTACTCTGAAATCAGTGTGGAAATCAACTGCACTTGGTAGGATAAATAACAAAATTCGGATTTCCAACATCAATGTCAAGTCATTTCTTCTGTATGTTTCAATGAATTTGTAGGCGCGCCACGTAAAGCATTCCTAACAGGCTACTAAAAACTTTTATCAACAGCTTTGTTCTCTGGTTCCATACTGAAGATCTAATGGCAGGCCAGAAAGAAAAAGCAACAGGAAAGTCTGTGAACGATGCAGTCAAGAACCCATTGCTGCAGATATGCTGGAGGAAATGGAGACGAATCGATCGCACGCTGAGGAGACCGGTGAGTGAGACAGCCAGCCAAAACATTGTTTTATTGGGACCGAATGGGAAATGGCTAGTCGGGTAGCTGAAGCGTGAGGAGATAAGAGCTCATATTCAATCGTGGAGTCTGCTAAGGAGGATTGCAGAGAACACGACAAACCTCTATGTTTTACTTGGAACCCTAGGCCATATTGTTAACAGATACAAGGGAGTGTGGACATCTGAATAAATTAGTTTCATTGTAAACCATTCTGAGTCATGTTATCAAGATCCTGTATGTATAGATACCTAACATCCTGGGAAGTTGAATCCGTTAAATAACACCTCAGACCAACGTTAATATCATAATCTCATATAATCAGTTCTAGCCTACATCCCAATGCATACACATTTCTTAGTTGGAAGAGACTAAAATATGCATAACTTCCTTGCAGCACAAATTAGAGCTGTTTTCATTTTTAACATTTTGACTAAACGGTGTACAGTCGTGTGGATGAAATATCATAGTGATTAATTTCTAAATTGTTAGAGAAAATACTTTTATTTCAAGCATTTACAATGCAGCAGTCTTATAAAAACATTTTTCCAACATTCTAAAATCAATTGATTTTTATCATATTCTTGTAAAGGTGAGTCGAATAGGTTGATTGATTTTTACACTCCATTTTGTAAGTGGTTGTGCTAAGAAATACGCATATATATATTGATTTTACTTCATTTTGTTATTTTAGCTTTTAATTTTTCAGCGTAGAAGAAGTTCTAGTGATTTTAAACAATGCATTGCATTATCCTGCTATCAGTAAAGAAATCTGTAGTAGATAAAAATGCCTGTGACATTTTTTTCATTATAAAGTACTAAATGAAAGGATGCCATACTTGAATAATTCTTCAAGTAACCTTTGGACATCCATCAGGGTTTTCAGTCAATGGGGATTTTGATTACATACTTCTGGGAATACATAGGGTGAATCGAGTAAATGTAAACCAACACGCGTCTTCAGCTTTTCATTAAGTTGCAGAAGTGTGTGTACAGAATGTTTGTTGTTTATGCATTGCTTCTAATGTCATATCTAACTAACCAACCCCTTAGTTTTCACCACACGAAAATTCGGTTACTCCCATCGCTTCAGCGATATTAAAACTACAACGATATATAAACTATTGCAAACTATAATCTATTTATTCTTTTTATGATTTACTTTTGTATACCACGAGGACTTTTTGATTCAGTCCACCAAAGTACAGTAAATAATTACATCTATTTTATCTTGCACATGGTTAGATTTAATTTATCACTAAAGGACGTTAAAAATTCAATTTTGACATTATTATTTTACAGCTTTTCGAAGTTATTTTGGATTTTTTAAATCTCCTATTATAACAGACAAAAAGTTACATATAACATTTTTACTAGGATCTTGAACCAAGCAGGTGGCCGCCATAAGTCATATCTGTAACTGAGGTTTTCTCTTCGATCATGTAATTAATTCGTTTAGAGACAGTTACTTTTATTGCTTAAAGATGATACCATCACACTAGCTGACTCAAACAAAATAAAGACAAGTTCCACTGGTTCATTCTTATTCATAATGTATCTTAAAAAATAGGTGGGAAATGTGGAAAGTACACGAAGCCTAATTATAGTCTGATAATTCAGATGCATTAGAGACGATTTATAGCTCAGGTGGATGACAGTTTATTTGCAAAGCTTTCATTGCCGTGCTGGGCAACACCTTCAGCACATACATCAATCTGAGATGAGCTCTTAGATTTTTCCACGAGTTTATTAGTCATCTCTCCTGATGACCTCGAACATGAATGGAGGTTTTAATGCATTTTCACACCCTCTAGGCTAGTCCCTTTGGTGTTGATTGTTTCCTTGACTTGATGTTTGACCCTTTGTGTATGAGACTTTTTCTTATCGATTGGTAAATTTTGTTTTTGATTTGGTTGTGTTCTCTGAGCTGGATGGTTGATTTGCGAAGCTTTCATCACCCTACTAAGTGACATCTTCAGCGCATACTTCAATCTAAAGTCTGCGCTGAAGATGTCACTTAGTAGGGTGATGAAAGCTTCGCAAATCAACCATCCAGCTCAGAGAACACAACCAAATCAAAATCATCCACCTGAGCTACAAATCTTCTCTATCATATCTAGGTAAATTTTGTCCATGTCAATGTGCCTATTGATTGACGATTCACTGGAATACCAGGCTTCTAAAAATTCTCTAGCGTTCTCGATGTTTCCTCTGTGTATTATTTGAACGCTGGTTGTCCCAGTCGAATTGATGTCCATGGTTGTCTGTGTGCAGCGATATGACGGAGTGGATGTGATGTCTTTTGACGGCTAGTTTATGGTCATGGATAAGAAGACGAAGATGACGTCAACTTTGGCCAATAAAGTGTTTTCACAGTCGCTGTTGGTATTGGCTTCTTCCTGTGTTGAGTCTTTTGGTTGACATAGAGCCATCCGAGTGAAGTGACTTTGTTGGTTTGTGTGCGACGTTACTTCTTAGAGGTTTGAAGAGTCTTGCAGTAATTTCTGAGATGTCCTGTATATATGGTAGGGTGATTTGATTTGGTAAGTCGTCCTTGGGGTAGATGTCTTTGGATGAAGTTCCGTTATATCCATTCTTTTGGAAGACGTCTATGAGATATATTTCTTTGATTTTGCTTAAGGTGGGATTGCTACAACAAGTTCTGGCTCTCTTGAGTAGTGTTTGCGTATGACTCCTTTTGTGTGTTGTTGGGTTGTCACTGTTGTAATTGAGTATTTGGTCTGTGTGAGTTGATTTCCTATAGACTTGAGTTTCTAATTTTCCTGTGTTTGTTCTCTTAACTTAGACGTCCAAGAATGGGATTTTGTTCTCTAACTCCTCTGATAATTTCCCCATAGGCGGCGAATGTTCCTATTAAAGTGAAATAGTTGATACAAATGTACAACCTTTACCACAGAACCTATATATTTTCTTAAATGAGATGAAAAAACTCAAATTCTGAATCGTTGCTACAAATGATCTACAGGATCTGAAAGGTATAAGCGTCGTATGAGTGTGTTTCTTTCACCGGAGTCCGTGTATGTCCAATAGTTGACATTACTCTGCTGCTTTGTGAACGAAGTTTCAAGTCAAAGGTTGAAGGATAATTTCTAACTTCAGTGTGGTCATCTGTGTAGCACGTAAACTTTCATACATACTGCGAAGCACTAGCTCAATAAAATTCACGAAACAATTCGTTTTCCTCGTAGTTAATCACTTATGTAATCCCGGTAATGTGGTTACAAGCAATAAATTGTGCTTAAAATATCTTTCAGTCATTGATATCGTATCATTGGATATATGTCAAATGAACTCATCTGGTATGCAAAAAACAGTCTTAAATTTTTACATTAGGGTTTTTTTTCTTGTTTTTTCCTTCGCGTTCCCCAGTGGAGCATAGGGCTTCAAACTAGAGGCTTAAAGTTTCTGTAGCAGTATTTATTTTACAGGATGAGGTTGCCAGCCTAATGCTCATTCTTTCCTCTTTACCAGCATTATTTCTGACTCAGCGAGGTAAAGGAGTGAGTCGAACGGGGATCGAACCCGGGACCATGTGTATGTTCGTTGAGCGTCCTAACCGCTATGCCACCGACGCACATATTAGGGTTACCTGTGGTATTTTCTGTCAAAGGGGATTGCCATCAGAATTAGTGTAAACATTTCGAAAGCTCTATATAGAAGAACCAAGTGGAATATGGACAAAATCACCTCTGCCTATTTTCTCAAACCGCTGTCTTATTTAACCTTATCTCATTTTGTTATCGGTGACTTGAAATCTAATCTTGCTTGTTTTCAAAATCACCTTTGTAGAAATATCTCGAAAGCCATGACACATATTTTGTACGCTGTTACTGTATATTTCATATCTACATATATATTTCAGAATTAGTGATTGTGTTGACTAGAATGCATAAGTAAGGTTACCCGTGAGTATCTGAGTTTGCATTACTTTGTAAAATATCTCTTGTATGCCAAGTAAACTGCAACATTCATTATTATTATGCCATACACTTTATAAGCTCTTAAATAATTTTCTCTTTACAAACAGGGATGTGGCCACTAGAAGCTTTCTTGTTGGAAGTAAACTGATTGTTAAATTATCAGATTTTTCACTGTGTAGACCAGTTGAACCTGATGTTGATTTTGTCTCAACTTCGAATGAATCTGTACCGATAAAGTGGTTACCGGTTGAATCTATTCTGAATGGGCGATTTCATTTGGATACTGATGTTTGGTCGTTTGGTGTTTTTTTATGGGAGGTGTTTAGTTTTGCAGCTGAACCTTTCGCTGAAAAAAGTTACGAAGAAGTATGTATCGGTATACGTTTTATGTCAATATATTTTGTTTGTTTCTATTATATTTGGTTTTTTTAAACTGTGGAATGCCCCATTGATCTTTGTCAATAAGATATATGTATAAGGTTGATTGGATATTCTGTGAATACGTTAACGGCCTACTGACCGAGATAAGAAACAAACAAACTGGCTCACAGACAACTATGATTTGGTGGACGAAATAAGTATCTATGTATATTTCAAAAAAAGTTCCTATCCACTTACCTTACTATTCATAAGTAATGTATTATTTCCGCTGAAACTTTTACATTAAAACTTGATGGAACTACTATTATTTACTAGGAGTATATTTTCCTTTATTCATTGTCTGTATTTTTACATGGCCTTTCTATTCATTTCTTATAAATGAATGAAAGTCAGGTTGCTTTTTTTTCAGCATTATACAATTTTCAGCATACCCCTATTCACATGCATATCTTTACTTTTTCTAACATAAGATCAGGGAAGAAGCTCTAAAATACAAAATCGCAAGTAAATAACCCGAATGCTATTGCAAAATAATTAACATGAGGAAATGATTACTAAAAGACTGAGTACACGTTTTATGTACAAATACATTCGTAAATAAATTACTGTCAGCACGGAATCTGGATCTCTCAGATAATTTATGTTGCATGTCTCACAAGCGAAGACCAACAAGTTGGCAAAAGACGCAGTGAAGACAGCATTTCCCGTGAAATATGGGAAAGACGTAGGCGATGAAGTTATTCGACCAACAGCAAACACCAGTCAATATAGAAAACCAATAGAAGCCCCTTCCACCTACTTGATCAGCATCGTCTCGACAACGGACAGCGGCGTGGATGAGAATGTTATAGTCATAGTACAACAGTAGGAAGATACCCATTACTTTGGAGTCAGTATGGAGATTCACTGCACCCAACATATTCAAAAAGATTCGAATTCTTAATACTAATGTTAAGTCACTGCTACTACATGATTCAGAGACTTATCCTGTGTGTCACTAAAAGTATTTCCAACAGGCTGCAGCAGACTTTCATCATCAGCTACCTTTGGTTGCTATTGAAAATCAGACCAGACCGACCAGAAAAAATTTATCAGTAGTATGTACAGGCGTTTACTGGCATTAAAATATCATATAGCAGGGAGATATGTTTGACATCAGAGAAAGTAAATGTTTCAGCGTTGTGGAAAAACATGGAAGATGTGAAATTGACACAAAGAAACACAATATGAAGGCCAGAAGTAGCACAACACGGAAGATCTGTGCTAGTGGTGCGTTGAAGATAAGGTGTACATAGTTTCGTTACGTAGCCATATCAAATTCCAAATGAACATCACCTCTACCGTTACAACGGAAATGCACTGGACATACACCAAGCAGAACGTTGACTGACATCATAAACCAAACATTCGGGTGGTACGCGTATTGGAAGCGATGAGTTGAGTATGCTTCTCGAAGTAACTTGGAGGAGATCACGTTATGAAGGAACATAAACTTGTGAGAAATTGTGGAGCTAATCGACATTGATATCAGAGGATTGAATGCAGTACTGAAGCCCTCTATTTCCTGGTGGGAACGGAAGGAGTAAATACTAATTATCTCTTAATAGATAAAAACCATCTCTCACTTCTGTGACCATGCATCAAATATCACTAAATCAGTGTGATGAAAATGTATTGGAATATTTTATTCACACTAGATAAGGTTTTTGATATAACGCAGAGATACAGTATCACTAACTGGATAACGTTTCGAGCACAGTTTATTGCTCATCATTATGAGCACTAAAATGGATTTACTGATTCATGTTTTGTTTGTATCTTACATCTCTCTATATGTGAGACACTTTTGTTTTTTATTTAAGTATTTATTCACTATTTGTTTATATTTTGTTTACTTCAACGTTATTTATCTCTTTTGTGAAGTTTGCTAAGTTATGTATTATCACGTGACATTCCGTATTGTCTTATAGACATACATATTAAAGAACGCATGGTTTCTTTTGTTTTCAATTTGTACAAAGTGTCAAGTAGTCGCAATAAAATTGTGTATTTACAGCCCTCAAATAATTGATCCTTCAGATAAAATTCGAACTTCTTCTTTTATCGCTAAACATAAAGTTCCTGTCTCCTTGTCTTAATCGTAGGTTGATCAGTCACTCAAATTAGTTGTCAGTCATTTTTAACAAAGTAAGAACTACAGTTTTAGCAGAATAAAGTGGTACCATCTTTTATTTCGTTGCCTTCTCGTCAGCTGCTTACATGGCAAAGACATTATTAAATATATCTACAACAACAATTTTAACATACTTGCACAGAGTTCATTTTAAACAAAAATCAATCAATTCTCCTTAAGTTTACTGAAGCCATTTCCATCAAGCACCTGAAACCTGATTTATGCGTCCAGAAAGAAGCGGTTATCAGCCTTTCTTTGCCCTGGTAACTGGATAATTTCACCTCTCTTTCTTCCGAATGTGAAATGCTAAATGTTTCCATTGTGTTTGATTATTATTGTTCGGAATATTGGTTAATATTGCATATTTATATATGTATATATTTTTAGTGTATGAGTATATTGATCGATTGATTTTTGTTTAAACTGAACTCTGTGCAAGTATGTTAAAATTGTTGTTGTAGATATATTTAATAATGTCTTTGCCATGTAAGCAGCTGACGAGAAGGCAACGAAATAAAAGATGGTACCATTTTATTCTGCTAAAACTGTAGTTCTTGCTTTGTTCAAATTCATTAAGGGGAATAAATATATGAAATCATTTTAAATTTTTCCAACCTTAAAAAATTTTTAGTGAAATGAAATCTTGGAGCGAGTAATCTGTGTTTATTAGCTTCAATTATTCCACTGTATATATATATATATATATACGTCATAGTAACATTTACGTTTCTCAATCAAATTTCACGAATTATGTTTATTTTCAAATGTTTTCTTCGTATTCATTGAAACTCTGCACTAATTTGTTTATTTGTATATTAATATTAATAATATTAAGGTTGTCAGCATTTTGGAACGTGGTGATCGTTTGGCATGTCCATCTCATTGTCCGAAATCTGTTTATCAATTGATGAATAAATGTTGGTCTTCTAAACGTCGTAAACGCCCTAAATTCACTCAGATTATAAGTTGTTTAAAAGAGATCTTGAATGATTTTTCGTCACCTGAAGTCAATAAGGATTCATGATACTATTCAACTTTATCATTATCCAAATTTTTTAAATTTTTTCTAGAAAACAATCAAGATTATTCGCGCTATTATGCTCTTATTCTATTCATGAACTCTTCCTAGCCATAGTTACTGCGCATTATAAATTGAATGATTAACATAATATTATGTTACTGTACAGTAACTTTATATTTTTCTAAATGTTTTATTAAAAAGAATTTTCTAATTTCACTTTCAACATAAAATAGTTTTTTCTGGTGTGTGGGGGTGGGAGTTGGTGTGAATTATTTATTGTGTTTTTATCATAACATTTCGATTACATTTGAGTTGCAGGTTGTGTATATATAACACATTTTCATAGGAGTTTGATGCAGAATGTAAGTTTTAGGATCTGACAATTACTTACTTTAGTTTATAATTCATGAAAATATTTGTATTGTCGATAGGATCTATTCTACTGATATATTGCTTAGTTCGTGTCACGTCGAATGATTTACTTCAGCCACATAATTTTCATCTGCTGTAATTTTTTCAGTATACATTTAGGATAGGACTATAATGAATAGGATTCATAGGACTTTGTCAATTAATGCGAAAAGAGTTCACCAAAATATGAGACATAAAGTTCATGTTGTTTCTTCAGTCAACATATGTGGTAGAAATCACTCTTTTCTTCTAAGTAGCAGCAGTTTAAATAGGACTTCCTGAATTCTCATCAATAAATATTTCCATTTGATGATATTAGATAGTTGGAGGCTATCGGCAGGAAGCCTTGGACCTAGGTTTCGTGCTAGTTGGTACCCGTCAGCAAGGCGCATCTGCAACCTTGAAGCAGCTCATGTCCCTTCTGAGATCCGAACCCACGTCACTCAGTGCTGCAGTCAGAGACTTTACCACTGAGGTATTCTGGCTCGCGATTGACCTCCTGTAGGACTGTAGTAGGTAGTTTGATTGGACATTAGTAACTAGTGTGACATGTCTAGTCCTTTTTTTGTGCAGACTGAATTCTATTAGTCAGGTTTGCAATGTGGTCACCATTCTAGGTAGCTCGCATTGTTAAAATTAAAATAGGACATTTAAACAAACAATTAGATCTTCAGACTTTAATGTACAAAGCTTTACACATAAGAATTTTAACCAATGAAGGTTAGTTTGTGGATCTAAAATAATACGTTTTTAACGTTATATGAATATGTCAGCAATAATAGTGATCATAATAATAGCAGTAATAATGATGATAATAATTAGGTCAATGATAATGAATGAAGATAATATAACAATGTAAACAATTCAGTAATTAAATGAGGTTAAAGTCTTGAGCTCTAATACGAATGTATGTCAAGTCAGAAGTTAATTCTTACCTGTGGCATTAACTTGAGGTTGTGTAACTTTAGAAGTGAGCAAAAGATTAAAAATATTAGCTGATAAATTTTCGTCTCACTTGATTATACTACTGTAGTTAGATGCTTAGCGAGTTATTATTGAAGAGAGCCAGGACCCTTTGCAGCACGCCTACCTTGAGGAAAATTGAAAATAATGGATGACCATGAAACTTTATCAAATGATATCTACCCCCAACCAAATCATAGGCCCCTAATGAAAACACAAAGAAAACTGTCGTACCGTATGTAAAGGACATCTCCGGGATCACTACAAGAATATTCAAATCTTTTGTAATTAATGTCGCCCACAAACCAACAAAATCACTCCACTCGGCTGTCTCTACGTCAACCAAAAGACTCAACAGAGGAAGAAGACAAAACCAACATCATCTATAAAATAAATTGCAGCAACTGTGAAAAACGTTACATTGGTCAAAGTGGATTCGTTTTTCATCTTCGCATCCATGAACATAAATTGGTCGTCAAAAGATACGATATCCACTCCCTCACGTCATTACAGACAGACAACTACGAATACCAGTTAGATTAAGATAATGTTCAATTCTTCCACAGAGAAATCCTAGAAGCCTTGTATTCAAATGGTTCGGCAATCAATATACACACTGACATAGACAAAGTTCAGCAACCCATTAGAATGAAGTAAAACTTCAGCTCAATACAAGTGAACTAGAGAGTGAGAAAATACACAAAAACAACCAAACACGTTCAAGATTACCTGAAGAGATGACTAATAAACTCATGGAGAATGTCAAAAGCTCTCTTCAAACTAAAGTATGCACTGAGGATTGTGTCTAATAAGGCAGTGAAAGCTCTGCAACTAAGCCATCCAGGTCAGAGAACACAACTATACCGGAAACTTATTAACGTTCACTGGATGTACTGAAATAATGGAGGATTTCAAAACTACTGTAAGTGAAATTAAAATCTTCCTGGTAATTTATAATCTCATAAAACCTGACTAATTGTTAGGTCTTAATTAGAATCTGTGGTCAAAATTTAATTTTACATAAATAGGCGATGAGGTTGGTTGAATTGTACAAATAGTATGCACGGTTGGGCTAATAAAGTTGAATACATGGGAACTAATGCAGCACGCAAAAGTCCCACTTTCATAGAAATAGAGATTATCAAATATATCTGGCTTAACAATAGAAACAGTCAGTAGTGACGACAAACGTGACTGGGTTTCACAGCACTGCTTTTTATAAGGAATACTACTGATTGTTTCCAAAACATTTCCTGGTATTCTATTTATTTTAAAACTTGAATATGATGTAATAATAAGTTATATGACATACCACGATTTAAGTCTTTGTATTACCTCAATGTTACTTATAAGATGAAAGCATCAGTATTCAACACAGTGGTGTAGGCAAGTCGAATCTGTGCATTTGAAACGAATATCATCGCTTATAACATATGGTTTCTAGGTATTTTTTGTATCATCCAGACATTCCCAAGTTAATACCACCAATTTCACGGAAAATCTTATGATGACGACAAATATCCAAATGCTTTATCAAGTCAGTTAAAAGTTACTCTTTTCTTACGAAGTGCTATTTTTCTTCGTACATTGTTTTATAACTAGCATGTATTCTCTTGTGGTGAGAGCTGCATGCTAGCCAAAATTGGTCGACAGCAATTTACGCCAATGTTCACTTCACAAATCTTGGTGATGAGAAAAACGAGAACAAAGACTTTGCGTGGGCGGATACGATTCACAGATATTTTTATTTTATTTATTTTTTTGATTACAGCTTAATTCCACACCGTATTTTGGGTACAAGTATGGAATTTTCAGCATGGATATCGGTGGCCCAAATTTTGCAGGCTGACCAAAGATATCAGGTGTGCGTCGGCAGGGGATCGAACCTCGAACCATGTGCATGGTCGGCGAGAGTCCTAACCACTGTGCCACCGACGCACATGTATGGTCTGACCATTAAAGAAACAGGCACAAAGAGATGACAGATTCACTCTCAGTGAGCAAACAATCAATCAGAAGACTGTTTCTCTGTTAATAATTACTAATAATGTACGTAAAAATCTATAAATGTCTATTGATTTCTTCAATAAACGATCTGTTGCCTGGCCTCTGTTTTCTGTCGTTACACTCTTAAAACAACACTAAAGTTCAGGTTGGTTGTATGCTGCATACTTAAGCATCTTGCATGCAAAAAATACTTCTGGCTTCTACCTCAAGTTACAACATTTCCTGCATCTACCGTCTTTTCTGTTTTCGTACCATTTGTACTTTATCACATGGTCAGTGATTAGTTAGACTTTAAAAAAACCATTTCTAAGTGATGAGTGGTCTTTATTACTTTTTAAGTGCTGTTCGACGCAACTAGTTGGATCTTCATAATTCCTATTTTTGCTGGTCAGCTATTCTGTATAACACATACTTCCCGTATGCATATAGTATTAGACAATGCACCTCGACCGTTATATTTTCAGTATTTGCACATAAATCACCACCATCATGAGTTACAGATAGTTGTCTATCTTTACTCCACATTTTCATAAAATTATCACAATGGATTACCAACACAGACTATCCACGACTTTTGATCGTTGGTAGACGAGAATTGATATTAAGTAATGCAAATCGAACCTGCCTCTTCTTCGTCTCTGTACACTTGCATAGATAGAACAGAGGCGGTCAGTTACGACTTGAATTGCCTCAGGTAGTTGATTGCGTATTACGTGCCAAGATAAATGATGTGGTCAAATCGGATTTTACATTCGGCCCTTTTAAATGTATAATATCAACCCTTTTAAACAGTTGGGATATCTTTTGTAGAGTTTTCCTTGCTGTGCACAGAAATACTTTTAAACAGCTTTTATTTTAACCCATCGTTAATGACAATTGTTGGTCGTTATTTCTCGAAAATATTCGTCGTTTTACCATCGGTCAGCGCCAATAAATATAGAAAACTAATGAAATAAATATGATTTTCAAGTATTGGTCTTTGTAGGGAATTTTGTTTGATTGGTTGGAGGATTTCATCATGAGCTGACATCAGTTACAGAACCATTGGAAAATCTGGTAGTACTGGTTCGAACTCCGGTGTGTGCGAACTGCTACAGAGTCCCAGACTGGGACTAAACAACTGTACAGCACTCCTGGGTTTTCCAATGGTTCTCTTACCGATGTCACCTCATTATGAGATCCTCCAACCAATCAAATAATTATGAATTGCAGAAGGTTCCATCTCAAATATGAGTGATATTCACATTTTGCATGTCCTATTCATCATTCCAACGCTATTCTGGTTTCTTGATGCGAACAAACGGAAAGCTGCGTGTCGCTTTATTACTGAAGTAGCAGTACTGTGTCAAATGGTAAACTTCACACTGACTGTTGTAGTGAGTCGTTTGGAGTTAGTAATTTTGCAGACAGTAATTTCAGCAAACTAAAAAAACCTTCTTTAAGCAGCCTGGGGATCTTATAAATAACCAGCAGTTACAACTTACTCCCTAAATAATGCGCGGGTGCTTATCATTTTCGCAGCGCATCTGTGTTTTTTCTGGAACCGCAGCGTTACATCGCAATGCTAATTATTCACTCATGTCGCATTCATTATGGAGAGGGCCCTTGCTGTGGGGGTTGAT